AAATTCAAAGGTTGCTGAAATATCACCCCTACAAGACTATCAGGAGTCCCCTCTTGGATATATTATGTCCCCAGAATCACTATGAATATTTTCACCAAAAATGTCTAACTGAATCCATTTGAGCTTTTGGATCTCACTTCCAGGATAAGGATAAAGAAATTACAATGAACAAAAGAATGACATACACTGTATCAAAAGAAACAATGAGACAAATCCAGAAGGTGAGACAGTCTACAAGACCAAGTTTCTTAACATGTAAATAGCACGGAAAACAAAGGGAGAGAGAATATATGTTAGTAACTACTCAATCTAGGTGATAGGTGTGGAGGAGGGGTTTCATCACACTAGTCTACTTTTCTCTAAATTACTTAGAAAACTTTCATAATAAAAAGTCTAAAATTCCTACAAGTCTAGTATATTTGTACGTTATCCAACACTGATATACAACCCTGTTCAAGAACCAATGACACACATGGTAAGTAGGGTATGTTTCTTCATTTTTAGCATAGAGCAGGCATTAAATAAATTTTTACTAAATGAATCTTTTTAGACTGACCCTTTCCTCTATTCTGAAAACAAGACAAAAGCAAGCCTCAACATTGCAGGATCACAAAAAATAAAAAAGCCAGATTAATAAGGAAGTAAGAAATACCCACTCAAATAGGACAACTGGCTGTTAAATTCAGTCTCTTAAGAGTTTGCAGCTCTAGTCTTTGCAGCATTCACAGAATGTTAGAGTTCTATCAATGGCAGATCCTGACCTTTCAACTGAAGAACACTGTAAATTAGGAAAGATGCATTCCTTTGTTACCTTGACTTTCTTAATAGTCAAGTGCACTTGACTTCTAGTTACACGAATACAGTCTATTATAATGGCATCATTGGAATATGGCAAAATAGAAACTAAGCAGCACTACACATAAGACCAATGACTGGACTGGGTATCAGTTCCAAGCTACATATGCTGCTGCTTCTAATCTCTCTTCAGATTTTCTTTCTTCTCTCCTTTTTCCCCTCTCCTCTTTTTCAATTATGCCTTTAAACACTTTAAAAGCTAAATGACTTACTAGAACCCTTCATAACTTTAATTAAAAGGTAACAATTGACAAAAGAGGAACACCCAGAAGAAATACCAACTGCTATTTTGACTGACCTCAGAGGTTCACCTTCTGTTTAAAATTTAGGTTGATTCAGACTACAGCTTGGAAGCATAGCAGCAAGATTACTTATGCCCTGAGGGGGGGAAAGAAAAATAGTATATGTTTACTCTTAGATTATGAAGAGTTACTAGAATAAAAATAAATTCTAGAGATGCAACATCAAAGTGTGATCATCTCCAAATTAATCTGGAGCTTTTTCTTTCATTAACTTTATAATGAGAAACTATTTACCATTTTAAAGTTAAGGGAAATTGGTACATCACAAATAAGAAAGCAAAACTTAACATTTTTTTCCTCTCAAAATAGCTTTTTATCTACTGGAACAACTCATTAATACAAAATACTATCAAACAATTTAGGTACTGTCATACATGCTGAGAAAAAAGGAACAACAAACATTTGAAAAGACGATCTCATCCACCTGGTATTAACTTAAATGGCACAAAGAAGTAATAAAATGCTTTAATTTAAATTTTTCTATAAAATTCTAATTTTAAAAATTAACACCAGCAAGGTGAAAACAATTTGTCCCTCGAACGTTTGCATTTTATTCCCATTAGATCAACAGCTTTTAAAAGTTGATAGAAAGACAAATGTATTCTTTTTATCTTCCAGCTTCTTGCACACAGCAGTCACTAAATACCAACTGAGAAAATGAACTCTCTGGCTCCTTCTATTTACTTTTAAAGGTTATCGATAAGGAAATGGTTGTATTTATGAGAACCAAAAAGCTGGTGTAAGCATGGTTTGCTGTGTTTTCCAAAGCTCTAATGGTATATCAGAACTCAATGTATGGATTTTTCTGTCATAGGTTATAAACTCATACAACGTAGGCATTATAACTAGCTCTATACAGTGCCTCCTAGAGTTGCGAAGAGATGTGCATTCAGTAAAACCATGTTAATGATGAAAATGATGTGTACTGGGGCGCCTGGGTGGCTCAGTCATTAAGCATCTACCTTCGGCTCAGGTCATGATCCCAGGGTCCTGGGATTGAGCCCCGCATCGGGCTCCCTGTCTGCAGGAAGCCTGCTTCTCCCTCTCCCACTCCCCGTGCTTGTGTTCCCTCTCTCGCTGTGTCTCTCTGTGTCAAATAAATAAATAAAATCTTAAAAAAAAAAAAAAAAAAAGGAAAGAAAATTATGTGTACTTACTCCCTACCATAATTTCCAATACAGATTTACTTCTCTAAAAATCACTCCAAAGTTACTTTCACTTACTCATGTTTAATGGTTGTCATGAACAACTTGTTCAGTTCTCCTTTTTAGTTTCTGACCATCACCTGTAACCTGGACTTCAGAGCACAAGCTCTGGTTCATGATGCCTACCTAAACCATTCACTAGCTGTATGAACATGGGCAAATTAACCACTCTCTAATTCTCCTTTATCTCATCTGTAAAACAGAGGACATAGTGTCTACTTCATAGAGTTCTTGTGAGGATTAAATGAGAAACATGAAAACTCAGCAAAAGAGCCTTCAAAAAGTAGTGCTTAATATCACCACAAAGACTTTCTCAGTATCATTTTTGATAGCACTCCTCAAGTTTACAAATGGGCTGGGGTGGGGTGGGGAGCGTGGGGTTGGTAATCAAGCCAAGCCATTTTTACTCAACTCTCTTTTCTTCTTTAAAAGCAATTTGAGACTTAACCAGATTTCATTTTATCTTTGGAAAAATATCTTCCTGTCCCTACCTTTCACAAGATCATAAATTGAAGCTTTTATTATTTAAAAAAAGAAAAAAGAAACTTCAAAAGTTTTCCTATGCTCAATAAGTTTTTACTTGCATATTTTCAACAGATTGATCTGTATTACTTGTAGCCATTTTTGTTTGTTGAAACCAGTCACTTCTACTTTTACTATGTTTTCCAAGGCTTCTTAACCCCAAGTTTTTATGGAAGCTACTATTCATATACAGTGTTTAATACACTTAGGCTGAGAAAAATACGAAAAGAGATGCGAAATTGTGAGAAGCAGAATGGAATAAAAACATAGCAAAGAAGGTGACAGTAAAAGTCAAAGAAGAAGTTAGGAAGTATTTAATAAAATGCTTCAATTAAGTCTGCAGTTGAGAAACTTGATGTGGCCACAGAGGATGAGTGTTGAATGAGGGAGTAGGTAAAATACCCAATAGTCTTTTGTGGAGACAATTTAGCGTTACCGTATTTTAGCAAAATTGTAAATGCACATCCCTCTGACCTAGTAATTCTACTTAAAGAACTTAAACCATAGAGGAGTATACTCACCAGGTTACCCAAAAACCTGCAACATGTTTATAACTGGGAACATCTGCTTTTAAGGTCACTTTTAAGGCAGAGATAAAAGTGAACCATACAGTCGATTGTTACTCAGCCATTACAATGAGTTAGATGGACTTTTATATGCTGACATATACTGATAAATAAACTGCTTTAAGAAGTGAAAAAAACTGGGTCGCCTGCGTGGTTCAGTCATTAAGCATCTGCCTTCAGCTCAGATCATGGATCCCAGGGTCCTGGGATCAAGCCCCGCATCAGGCTCCCTGCTTGGCGGGAAGCCTGCTTCTCTCTCCCCCACTCCCCCTCATGTTCCCTCTCTCGCTGTGTCTCTCTGTCAAATAAATAAATAAAATCTTTTAAAAAAGTGTGATACACTATGAATAATGATCACATTTGAGGTTTTTTCTTATTAGGAATGCAATTTAGGGGCACCTGGGTGGCTCAGTCAGTTGGGCACCTGCTTTCGGCTCAGGTCATGGTCCCGGGACCCTGGGATCCAGCCCCGCGTTGGGCTCCCTGCTCAGTGGGGAGCCTGCTTCTCCCTCTCCCTCTGCCTCTCCCCCTGCTTGTGCTCTCCCTCTCTGTGTCAGATAAATAAATAAAATCTTAAAAAAAAAAAAATGCAATTTAGGAGTGCCTGGATGGCTCAGTCAGTTAAGCGTCTGCCTTTGGCAAGGTCCTGGGAGCAAGCCCAGCGTCAGGCTCCCTACTCATCAGAGAGCCTCCCTCTCCCTCTACTGCTCCCCCTGTTTGTTCTCTAATAAATAAATAAAATCTTTAAAAAAAAAAAGAAAAGAATGCAATTTAGGGGTGCCTGGATGGCGCAGTCACTTCTGACTCTTGGTTTCTGCTCAGGTCATGATCTCAGGGTTCTAGGATCAAGCCCCATGTGAGGCTCCATGCTCAGTGCAGTCTGCTTAAGATTCTCTCTCCATCTGCCCCTCCCTGCCCCCCCCCACACTCTCTAATAAATAAATCTTAAAAAAAAAAAAAGAATGCAATTTAGTATAGAAAATTCCTAAAATTACAAAAAAAGTTTAAAAACTGGTAAGCTCTAGGAAGTAAAAACAGAGATAAGGAAATGTTAATTATTTTATATCTTTGTATTCTTTGAATGATTTTACCATGAGTATTTTTATTTTTTTTAAAAGATCTTTTTGAGAGAGAGAGCGAGAGCAAGCAGGAGAGGAACAGAGGGAGCGGGACAAGCAGACTCTGCGTTGAGGGCAGAACCTGATGTGGGGCTCAATCCCATACGCCTGAGACCATGACCAGCCAAAACCAAGAGTTGGATGCTTAATTGACTGAACCACCCAGATGCCCCATGAGTGTGTATTTTTTTTTTTTTTTTAAGATTTTTATTTGTCAGAGAGAGAGAGAGCACACAAGCAGGTGGAGAGGCAGGCAAAGGGAGAAGCAAGATCCCCAGTGAGCAAGGAGCCCAATGTGGAACTCGATCCCAGGACCCTGGGATTATGACCTAAGCCAAAGGCAGATGCTTAACCGACTGAGCCACCCAGGTGGTGTCCCAAGTGTGTATTTTTAAAAAATAAGTCTAGGGGCAGTGTGCACCTAATCTCAGCTGGTCCGCCCGAGACCCCGAGCGCCAACCCTATTCCCCCATGCGGTCCCATTTCCGCTCCAACAAGATGAAAGAAACTATCATGAACCAGGAGAAACTCGCCAAACTGCAAGCACAAGTGCGCACTGGTGGGAAAGGAACTGCTCGCCGAAAGAAGAAGGTGGTTCATAGAACGGCTACAGCAGATGATAAAAAATTTCAGTTCTTCTTAAAGAAGTTAGGGGTAAACAATATCTCTGGTATTGAAGAAGTGAATATGTTCACAAACCAAGGAACAGTGATCCACTTTAACAACCCCAAAGTTCAGGCATCACTGGCAGCGAACACTTTCACCATTACAGGCCATGCTGAGACAAAGCAGCTGACAGAAATGCTACCCAGTATCTTAAACCAACTTGGTGCAGACAGTCTGACTAGTTTAAGAAGACTGGCTGAAGCTCTGCCCAAACAATCTGTGGATGGAAAAGCACCACTTGCTACCAGAGAGGATGATGATGATGATGAAGTTCCAGATCTTGTGGAGAATTTTGATGAAGCTTCCAAGAATGAAGCAAACTGAATTGAGTCAACTTCTGAAGAACATAAAACTTGAAGAAGTTACTGGCGCTACTATTTTACATTATGACTGCTTTTTAAAATTTTGTTCGTGGATCTGATAAAATCTAGATCTCTAATATTTTTAAGCCCAAGCTCCTTGGACACTGCAGCTCTTTTCAGTTTTTGCTAATACACAATTCATTCTTTGCAGCTAATTAAGCTGAAGAAGCCTAGGAATAAAGTTTGAAACAAGGTTAATAAAGTTCTTTGCCTAGGGGAAAAAAAAAAGTCTAGGGGCGCCTAGGTGGCTCAGTCGTTAAGCGTCTGCCTTCGGCTCAGGTCATGATCCCAGGGTCCTGGGATCGAGCCCCACATCGGGCTCCCTGCTCCGCAGGAAGCCAGCTTCTCCCTCGCCCACTCCCCTTGCTTGTGTTCCCTCTCTCGCCGTGTCTCTGTCAAGTAAATAAATAAAATCTTTTTAAAAAATACAAATAAATAAATAAATAAATAAAAATAAGTCTATCGATCTTTAAAGAATCAAAGGAAGCTGATCAGCACAGTCATTGATACAGGCAATAAACATCACACAAGTAATATAACCATGAGACTCTGGACAAATTAGCTGACCTCTGTCTCATTTTCTTATGAAGGATTTGGAGTAAATTTCTATAATCTAGTCCAAAAAGGGTATCTCTGGTCATGAGAATAAAATATAGAGTTATACTGAATTTTGTAAAGGGACAGATTTTAAGAAAAGACTTAGTATACTCAAATATTTAATATAAACTTTTATATGTTTCAGCATTTAGCACAATGCTTGATAAAGGATTTCATCAATTAATTCTTGATTAAAGAACATGACTAATTATACGTGATTTGATAGAAAGGATTTAGAAACCCCACACTTTCTTCATCTTCACCATATAATCTTCTTTACTAATAAACATAACTGCAAAATCTGGAAAACAGGGAATATGAAGGCACATAGAGCAATAATAAAAAAATTTATTTTGTAATTTCAGTATTTTTCAATGAAATAACAGCCCTATATCCTAACAGCCTTATAGCTTTAAAACTGACATTTAAACATTGGTTTAATAATGACTTAGAAAATACTGATAACTGTGAGTGGTAAGTACATTAGGGTTCACTACACTCTACTTTTGCACTGTTTGAAAATTTCCATAATAAGTTAAAGATGATGCAGTATACAGTTATAGAGACTTACAATGAATTTTCATTTTTTTTCTTTCCCCAAACAAGATCTTCTTTAGGGCAGAGTCTTATAATTATTTGAATTCTCCATGGTGCTTTGTCCATATTAAGCAGTAAAAAACTTTACTCTTCGCTAAAATTTATTAACAAGTAAGTACACTAATATTCAATGAGGAAAGTAACATTTATTACTGCTATTCTGATTTTATAACATCAAAAATCAACTCCAAGTTATTTGTCCTTCCTTTAGCCTTAATTTTAAAGATCTCAGGCTCAACTCAAATTTGGAAAATTTGATTATAGATCAGCCAGGCTGGAAGCCTTTTCCTTTATGGGATTAAATTAACTGCTATTTCCTTGGAAACAACTGGGATTTAGGAAAAACTGAAAGACCAATAACCATGGTTTACATCAGATCATCCAAGTTATCACATATGGCTGGAAAATCTAGTTTCTGACTATGACCAGTGTTATGGATTGAACTGTGTCCCCTTAAAAAAGGTATGTTTAAGTCCTAGCCACACTCCCATAAACTATGAATGTGACCTTATCTGGAAATAGGGTCTCTGCAGATGTATTCAAGATGTGAGGTCACACTGGATTAATGTAGGTCCTAATCCAATGATTGGTGTTTTTATTAGAGACACAGACACACACAGGGAGAACACCATTATGACCACAGAAGCAGAGACTGGAGTGATGTGTCTACAGCCAAGGAAAACCAAGGACTGCTGGGCACCACCAGGCGCTAGGAGGAGACAAAGGGGCAAGGAAGGATCTTCCTCTAAAACAGGGGTGGGGAGTTGGGAGTGAAGCAAGCATGGCCCTGCAGAAACCTTTATTTCAGACTTCTAGCCCAGAGAACTGTGAAAGAATAAATTTCTGTTGTTTTAGGCCACTCAGTTTGTGGTAATTTGTTATAGTATCCCTAAGAAACTAACACAATGAGAAATGATCATCATTTATCTTATCATTTCTTAGATGACTCTGTATTAAAATATTGCTGAGGTTTTTTGGGTTTTTTAAAGATTTTATTTATTTGGGAGACAGAATGAGAGAGAGAGCGAGCATGAGAGTGGGGAGGGTCAGAGGGAGAGGAGCCTGATGCGGGACTTGATCCTGGAACTCCAAGACCTGAGCCGAAGGCAGTTGCTTAACCAACTAAGCCACCCAGGCGCCCTGCTCTGGGGTTCTTAAAATTACTTGTTTAAATGACAATCATTAAATATTTGCAAAAGTCCTCTCATAAACTGAGAAAGATGAATGAGGATGAAAATGTAGTGTTTTGTTTTAAAGCATTTAGCATCAAAAAAATAAGGGGCACTTGGGTGGCTCAGTCGGTTAAGCATCAACTCTTGATCTCAGCTTAGGTCATGATCACAGGGTTGTGAGATGGAGCCCCGCATCAGGGTCCACACTGGAGGGCATGGAGCCTACTTAAGATTCTCTCCCTCTTCCTCTGCCCCTCCTCTCCTTGTGTGTGTGTGGGGGGGGGGGGGGCATGTGCGCATGTGCACGCACTCTCCCTCTCTCTAAAAAAATAAATAAATAAAGCACTTAAGCATTAACCGCAAAATCAGAGATACAGAAACACATCTATACTTTGATCCATATGGTGAAATGTTTCTCACATCACAAAATGCAACAAACTTCTTCTCCCCTGCTATTTCAACCCTACATACCAGCTGACTGACCTCAAAGTCAAAAGGAATTAATTTGTTCAATTTCAGGTTAGGTGGAAATGGCCCCAGTAAAGGCTAACCTTATAATCATGTGAAATGTAGTAAAAAAACAAAAAACAAAAAACAAAAAACGTTTGCTACTTGATGGGACATACATTTTAGTATATATTTAAATACTTTGCAGCTTGTAGATCAGAAGAGGCACTCAAAAAACATTGGAGAATTGGATAGTTTGGATACAGATACAAAAAAAAGTGATAATTGAAAAATAAATGTACAGAGAGCAAGTGAGCCTAAAGGAAACAACACCCCAGTGGCAGAAAGCACACATATCTTGGTTCTAATACCATTCTCCAATAAAAGGAATCAGAATCCTTAGAGAAATAACTGATTCTTCAGACTGAGATAAAAAAATATACAGAAAGTCTGGAGTATCGTATAGTGCCAAGAAGTGCTAAAAAAAAATTTTTTTTAATTAAAAAATTAAAAGGATGGGGGCATTTCACTGTAGACAACTGAAAGAGCTCCCAATGTCCAAAGCTGGAACAATTTGAGCAACAAAATAAAGTTAACATTGGCTTATAACACAAATTATACATAAATATCTCATGTGTTCATACTGATATAAATAAATGATTAAGTAAATTGGCAGGGCAGACAAATCTCCCATGCAGAGGAATTCCAAATAAAGTATGTAGATACTCCACCCTAAAGGAGGGAGAACATAACTCTCTAATCCTCAAATGTAGACTGTGCAAAAGGACTTCCAATGAGTACAGTATGGAAAGGAGGAGGTGGATAGAAAAGAGTAATCTTACAGTGGAGAAACTTGACAAACACTACTTTAAGGAAGTGATCAAGGTCAATATCAATGTGATAAATCACATTCATATTACATACCCTTGACAGGATATTCTGAAAAAGGCACTGCTCCTCTGCAATCTTCCTCTCCAAAACCCCTACTGCCAGTCTTACCATGAGAAAAACATCAAATTCCAGTAGGAGGGCACACTACAATATACCTGACCAGTAATCCTCAAAACTGTCAAGGTCACTGTATTAAGTTTGCTAGGGCTGCCATAACATAGTACCACACACTGGGTAGCTTAAAGAACAGAAATTTATTTCCTCATAGTTCTAGAGGCTAGAAGTCCAAGATTGAACTTGGACAGCAGGGTTGGTTTCATTTGAAGGCCTCGCTCTTTGACTTATAGATTGCTGTCTTCTATATCTTTATATGGTCTCCCCTCTTGTGTCCTAATCTCTTCTTATAAGGACACCAGTCATAAGGGATTAGGGCCTACCATAATGACTTCATTTTACTTCTTTAAAGACCCCATCTCCACATATGGCTACTTCTGAGGTACTGACTTCAACATATGAATTTTGGAGGGACACAATTCAGCCTGTAACAGTCATCAAAAACTAAGAAAGCGTGAAAACTGTCACAACCAACAGAAAGCTAAGGACACATGACAACTTAACATCTATCCTAAATGGAATCCTGGGACAGAAAAAAACATTAGGTTAAAACTCAGGATATATGAATAAACTACAGACTTTAGTTAATAATAATTTGTCAATATTAGTCATTAAGTGTAACAGATATATCATACTGACCTATACTAATAATAAACTGTGTGTGTGTGTGTAAGGCGGGGGTGTTTATATGGGAACTCTACCATCTGCTCAGTTTTTCTGTAAATCTAAAACGGTTTTAAAAATAAAGTCTCATGAACATCTTAAAAGAACCGGTTTACTGTTACTACCCCTATAGACCCACGATAGTCCTACAAGTGACTCTTTAGTGTTCAAGTTTGTTTTCACTTTTGCTTAGCTGCACTCAAGTCACAAATTCCAAGTTTATTTTGCTCTTCTATGAATTAGCCATCAACAATCAAAATCTGTCGAACGCCCATGATGTTCAGATAACAATATTCACAAGATAACACAACTGAAATGTTGGATATACTCTTCCCTCGTGAACCTTAACACATAATGTCCATCACTGGATAAAAACACAACAAAATTACAACCTAGGGAACCTAATTGTAGTTAACAGGACGCATTTGCCCTTGGCTGCGCCTGCGTAGTCGAACTGCACAGCGCAAAAGGTCCAGGTCCGGCCCCCGCCTCCTCGGCCCCCTAGCACCCCCTCCCCATAAGGGGGTTCCCACTGCGCACGCGCAGTGCTTAACGGCCGGTCAGGAGCCCAACAATTAGTCCCTTCTCACCCGAGAGAAAACTCTCATAGTTAAGACGAAGGGGTCGTGAGCATTCTCTTTAATAACAGCATTTCCTTTTCACCGAGAGCAGAGCTCTGACTCACCAAGTCGGGCGGACACCGCCGCTTTAAGGAGATGAGGTTCCAGCGGTCGCGCCAAGCAGCGTACGCAGCCTACGTGTTTAAGTTATGCTAGCTTCGCCACAGAAACCAAGAAGTCTGTAATGGCCTGCGAAGTCCCCACGCGTAATTGTTCTCCACCACTTACCCACTCTGGTTCCGGAACACCGTTGTCGCCACCGTTCCTGCAATACCTCTCCAAACCTTTCGATGCTTCTACTTCTTCACGAACAAGACAAGATGGCGCCCGATTGGTTGCACCCGGAAGTGAATAATAATAACATCCGCTTGTCATCTGAAGCCATATTGTCCCCTAGCCTGGTCTTTGAGCACGTGACTATACCCAGTTAACTTGTCTCGATGCCATTTTTGTTTTGGGCAAAGCCCCCGGCACTTCGTAGTCAACACCGTGCAAGTGTCTGAACATTCCTGTAGGATACCTTTTGAGTCATGCTGAACCCGTTTTCATCTTTACAATAGCCAGAAAGCCAGGAGCTTAAGTGTTCGGTACAAAACGCCCTCAATTTTTTTTTTTTTACTTTAGCAACGTGATCCTCCTTCAAGGGGAAGTATGTTCCCCGCCAGGAACGTTTTCGCTTCGGAAAAGGGGGGTTGAATTCGCGGCGCTACTTTCAGACTACGGAGAGGCGTGAGGGTCAAACTGAACCAACTCCGGCGGGCTGCTCGGTACGCCCAGAGCGGCATTTTTCTCGTCGGAACTTCTGGAGGACTCCAGGCTTGGGTCTTATAGAGCGTTGCTGACGGCTACGGCGAACGTTAGTGAAATGGCCAGGCTAGATGGTAGCGTCTGCAGAGACCTTAACGGAACCCGCGGCGATTGCTCTCTTTGTTAATCTCAAAACATCGCGCCCCCTTCCGGCGATATTTGCTCAGCTCTACGTCACCCAGTTAGTCCCGATATTTCGTTCTTTACCCGTGACCCTTACGGGAAAGTGGGGAAATCAGTTTCTGTCCTGTTACTCCTGTCTCTCGACTACAAGATGGCCTCCCGAAAGGGTTTATGCAATGCAATTCTTCGCATAGAATACTTCGATTGCCCGCTGTTTTAATATGAACATTAAAATATCAAAAGTATCTATTTCCAAGCTAGGAGCTACAAGTTACAAGGAAAACAAAATTTTTACGAAGATACGGTATTTATTTCTCAACTAAATCTTGGAAAGTGCCTTTTTAGAAAGTAACATGAAACTTTTGCGTGACTGAAGAGTGAACCAAGTTATTTCACTGGGAATTGTGCAAAAAAAAAAAAAAAAAGCAAAATACAGTAGAAATAAAGTTAAGTGCTTCTATTTATATATATATATATATATATTTTTTTTTTTTTTTTTTAAGGATTTTATTTATTTGACAGACACAGCTAGAGAGGGAACACAAGCAGGGGGAGCGGGAGAGGGAGAAGCAGGCTCCCGGCTGAGCAGGGAGCCCGATGCGGGGCTTGATCCCAGGATCCTGGGATCATGACCTGAGCTGAAGGCAGATGCTTAACGACTGAGCCACCCAGGCGCTCCAAGTTAAGTGCTTCTAGATGGATAAAGAAGATAAATATAGATGTGAGAATATAGATGCCATTTGCATGAAATTCAGTCTTCCTTAATAAAACACTTGAAACCTTGATACTCCTGGATGAGCATTAGAAGTCCTCAATAGCTAAAGATGTGCTGGTCCTCAAATCCACGTGGCCTTAGAAATAAAATTTTATCTTGGGAGAAACGCTTACAAATTACACCTGGCAACACCATGATGTGAGTGCATGAATATTAACTACAGGATGCAAAATTTCCATTCTTTTAGCCCTTTTCCCTAATTTCCACGTAGAACAAAAAGACACACAACAGTCTAATAGATTTTTAAAATCACTTGTGGAAAAAAAAAATAGGACATATCACAATTTATCAGTGGTTATCTCTGATTTTGGTCTGTGATTTTATTTTCCAGATTTTTTTGCACAGGGCCTGATTTTCCAATTTGTTTCTCTGAGAAATTCTTTTTTTAAAAAGATTATTTATTTGGGAGAGAGCGTGTGTGTTCATGGGGGGGAGGGGCAGAGAGAGAGACTCTCAAGCCAACTCTCCACAGAGCACGACTAGGGGCTGATCCATGGACCCCAAAATCATGACCTGAGCCAGAGTCAGACACTTCACTGACTGAGCCACCCAGGTACCCCTCTGAGAAACATTCTAATCCGATAAAGTGCTCTGTGAAATCTGATTCCCCTACTGAAACTTTCACATGTTCCTATCTCCTATAATCATATTGTAATTGTTTGCCATTTCCCTAGTAGAGTTGAAGCAATTTTCTGGTACTGTTATCCCCGCCCCATCTCTGTTCTCCAACCAGTCAGCATACTGCTTATCATAAAAGAATTTTTCCATTTGTCACATGAGTGACTTATTTTGAACAACCAATATAGGCCAATCATTTTGGAAACCCACTGCCAAATAGAGATATTAAATAACTCATGTTTTGTTCCTTGTGCCAACTTAAGACATTCTCAGTGGTCACTGATTGCCAAATCAAGAAATGTTTTAATTTTTTAAAAGATTTTATTTATTTGACAGAGAGAGCATAAGCAGGGGGAGCAGGAGAGGGAGAGGGAGAAACAGGCTCTCCTCTGAGCAGCGAGCTCCATGCGGAACTTCATCCCAGGACTCTGGGATCATGACCTGAGCCGAAGGCAGACACTTAACTGACTGAGCCACCCAGGAGCCCCAGGAAATGAGTTTTATAGTCCCATTTCCCTTTCCCTGACTACTATCATCTAGGATTTCCCTGTAATGTTAGGATCTGAAGGAAACCTCACACACATATGTATTTCAACACCAAACTTTCCCAGAATGTTTTTGTATTAAAGTGTCTGAACAGTGATCATGTACGTTATCTGCTACAGTCTGGTCACCCTGCACCTTGATCAGAAAGTGCTGAAGCAGCCACCATCTTGCCAGTCTCGGCAATCTGTTTATGACTAACAGATTAGCGGACTTTGTAAATTAAATTTTTATTAACTTTCCCTGTTTGCAGTGTTTGAAGTAGAAAGTCCAAAGGGAGGGTATGTTCAAGTTAGTATTTTGCATTATTGTGGAATCAAGTTAGCCTCAAGTTTAAATGGGAAAAAAAAAAGTTAAATGAGATGCGCACGATACAGAATTAGGAAGTATTCCTACCATTCAAGATATGGATCTTTACAGTGTCAATTCCATATAACATCCATCTTAATATTTAAAAATAAAATTATTTAAAGCTGTGGTATATACACAATAGATTTAGACTTAAAAAGGAATGAAATTCTGATACATGCTGCCACATGGATGAACTCTGGAAAGATTATGCTAATGAAACAAGACAGCCCATGGGAGACTTATTCTTATTCTGTTTTATTCTTACTCATCCTACCCATCCCACTTTGCAATTAGGCAGGGCCATGTGACTACTTCTGGCCAATGGGTTGTGAGTGACACATCCAAGATGAATTTAATTGCTGGTGCAAGACTAGTGCTCTCTTCCCTTGCTACAGTGGAGAGACCTGGTGTTAAAATGATAGAAGCACATATAAAAGCCTGGATTATAAAATCATCAATTGGAAAATAGTTGGCTATGCAGATTGCCCTGATTCACGAGGGGACTTTGGGTGAGGAAGAAATAAACTTTTGTGGTGTTAAACCAATGGGATGTGGAGTTATTTGTTACTGCAGCAAAAACTAGGCTGTCTAAAACATACTGTAATGCAAACATTTTGGGTATTTCTGCTTTAGTGCAACTTTAAAAATGTATGAAATTGGCTTGGGGGGGTCCATGAACCTCTGAAATTACATACAAAAATCTGGGTTATATATTTTTCTGAGACTATATAACTGTCAAGATGTCCCTTCCCAAACTCTACATTGTCATTAGCAAGAGTGAAGAGAGGGCCCCAGAATTAAAACCCTCCTCTTCCCCCAACTCACAGCTTCGATAAATACTTATTAAATTACTGAACAAATGAAAGAGGGTCTGTAACTTTCATCATAATCTCAAAGAACTTCATGACCCAAAAGAGCTTAAATCCAAACAGGTAGACAAAATATTTCCTATTATCCTGTCTAAATAATCCAAATATTTTGAGAAACATCTGAAAGGATGAAGATTCACCCTTGGTAAGATACTGAAATTTGAGTGAAAGTGACCTATAATAAGATATTTTGTTCTGAAATAATAGGATATTTGGAATATACCTAGGTAAGCAAATGCAGTGTTGATAAATAAAATATTATCAGTAATGTGCATTGCAAAAACTCCAGGACCAACTGTGAAACAAAGAAAAATATTTATTATGCATTTTTATACAGTAACATCAAAATTATGCTCAATAAGTTACATAGCTGTTTTCTAAAAACACTGCAAAAAAAAGATAAAACAGTAGGAATGCTATATAACCAGCACTACTCAAAATTAAAAATACAGTCATCTTTTAAACAGATTTAAATTGATGATTTCTACATGAACCAAAACATTTTAAATATCTAAAAATCATCTTTCTTAATGCACTGGATAATATATAAAGACTCAATTTTATTGCACATAAGGTATTTGATTTAGGCTTATTTGATCAGGTAACATGCAGACAAATTATGAATTTAGGAAAAGGCAGAGTGTTATTTTGTACTACAAAAATTGGGTGAATGATACATTTAACAGCTTAATCTTCAGAAAATTTTATTCAGCTATTGTATAAAATCACTAAAATCATCACACATGCGAGCTAAGAGCTATCATATATAGTAAAATAGCTCTGTTGGAGCATTTAAAATAAGAAAACAGGAATCAACCACTCTTAGAACTGACACCAACTACCACTCGCCTTGCCACCCAAAAAGGTGGTTTTCACATCTGTTTTAAAAACACTAAATAACAGAGGCACCTGGGTGGCTCAGTCGTTAAGCGTCTGCCTTCGGCTCAGGTCATAATCCCAGGGTCCTGGGATCGAGCCACGCATCGGGCTCCCTGCTCAGCAGGAAGCCTGCTTCTCCCTCCCCCACTCCCCCTGCCTGTGTTCCCTCTCTTGCTGTCGCTCTCTCTGTCAAATAAATAAATAAAATCTTAAAAAAAAATAAAACCACTAAATAACAAAATCTTAAATACAGATATGTATTTGGTTATGACAAAAATATTCTCATAATTGACACATAATCACAATTTTATCATTTTAAATAGGAAAAACCAGAGGAAACTGGGGTTAGACCTCCCTGTAAACCAGTTTCTAAATAGCTAGTGAAACTTCTGTTCTACTTCTTAAACTCATTTGGCCAAGCGCTATCGTAGTTGTTTCGAGAATCTGTAAACATTTCTCACTTATTTATATAGTTTCCTGAGGTCATCTAGAAACTATTGTTATTATAGCAGCTTCACAATTTAGTACCCCTGCAAATGTGCTTTCAAAATGTTCAGAATAAAAACAAAAAATTAAGTGTAGGCCCATGTGTAACTTAACATACTCCCTAATTACAAGTCTATCTTTAGGAAATTCTTAGGTATCAAAATCAAATTTATTCCATTACCAGCAGACCCTGAAAAATATTCATAAACTGTAGGCCAAAAAAAAAAAACCACAATAGATTTCAGACTTTGCTCTTTTACCATGAAATGAAAATAAAGTATCTCTTTGTATGTTACTTCTGGAATAATGTCTAAAACATATATAGGCCTCTCCATTTTAAAACATGTTAAAAGAGTGTCAGCACAGTGCCTGACCCATAACAGGTGTTCAAAAAATATATACCTACTGAATAAATGTTAAGCATAAAAACTAGTGTAGTACTTGAGTACAGAGGTAATGTTCTAAAGCTACAATGTATCACTCAATGAAAAATCAGTCCTAACTGCCACTCAAAATAAAGCTCAAAAGGTCTCCTCTTTGGTAAATACAGCACTGGCACATTTCCTGGCATCCCATTAATGAAAAGAGGACTAGGCACTTCCCTTGATTCCTGTCCTCACCTATCTCACCATCTCTCACTTTAGCTGTGTAAGGGATAAAGCCAAGGGGCAACAGAAAAGAATGCTCTTGTTTCTTTGCTACCCTTTTTCCTTCCTTTCCCTTTCTTTCCTTCTTTCTCTCACTCTTTTTCTTGTTTTTCTTGTTCATCTGTCAATGAAACAAGAAGCAAGTGACCACCCAATGAAAAATATGTGCCTCATAATGGTATCTTTTTTAGGAGAAAAATGAGGTGACTTAATATTTACATTTGGGGAAAGGCTGGTAATTGTCATTACCAATATGGCTAACATGAATAGAGAGATTTAACTAATACTTCCCCCCCAAAAATTCACTGCTCTGGTACTGAAAACTTCAATGTTAATGGATTACAAATAAACATAAAACACCGTTTAAACAGTTTAAACTACTTTTTATAGGACACAACCTGAGTTTGCAGATTAATTTATAAAGGTATATTTCTCCATCATTTCACATTAAAATCAAGAAAACACTATTATTTCAAATTTCAATACCTTAAAAATAGAATTTTTGCATTGACATTTTTAAGCTCTGAGTTTTAAATATTATTACCATCTTTAACACTGATTATCACAATTCCTCTCATCCACAGATCAAAAGGCAGCACTGGTAAACTTGACAATGTCATACAACCTTAAATGTTAAGAAGGGTCAGAGGCTTGGTTAAATATTTCCACACGGTATCTACAGGCCCTATTCTTATCCTTCCTTCCCAAGAGGAAAATGAACTGGGATTAGGCACTTAGCCAGTAGCTGCCCGTAGTATGACGTGTTGGCACTAATAATTAGGATGCTTGAACCATGCACGTATGTGTTTTGATTCAGTAATGTCAGGCCCAAGTACCCATTATTTTTTTAAATTTTAAGCCTAAGTAATAGTAATATTTTCATGCCAAGTTTTGACAGCTTAATAATTTGTATTCTGGAGGGGGGGCTGTAAACTACCACATTTATTTATTTAAAATCTGAAATGCCTTTACACCTCATTAAAATACAAGCTAAACCCACTTGAACTTATTAATGATGCTTGTTGATGACAAAGAAAAGTGATCTCAAACCCCAAAACCATGATTAATGTTTACTGACCTACAGAACTAGAAAATTATATTTCCCTGTCTAGTATAATAAGAATATGATTCTCTGTCGCTTACAAATATAATTTGGTAATTTATATTTAAAAGTATCCAATGGTCCCATATGGATTAACAACTTCTATTTACCAATTCTGCATTTTACAATTTTCAATAATTATATTTTGACCCTGGCTGATTACATGCAAATTATCCTCAACGCCATCATGAATAGGCTGCAAATAATGTTAATGATAGATTTCAATATTGTTCTAGTTCTCAAAACCTCAAAGCAATAAGCTAATCAATAAATTATTTGTAGAATCCTATTACTGAAGCTACAGTGGTATCTTCTTATATGGTTGAATCACAGAAAATATGATGAGGTCACTGTGTAAGTATATGTTATACCAATGTTTCTCACACAGTGGTATATGTACACCACTAGACAGCCCTGAGATGATTTTAAGTGGAGTGCTACATGGATGAACAATTTCTCTCTAATAGTTATATATTTACTTTAATGTTTATTAGAAATAATATAACTAGTACATAAAATGTGGAATATGCTCAAAACAAGGCTATGTTTAAAAATATAAGGCTGAAAACTAAGGTTAAAAATAATTAAACAATGGCACAGGATTATGTATATATGAAATCAGAAAGGTGGTATGCGACTCACATTTGGTAAACACTGTTTTAACAATTTCATTAGCCAGTATCATTTCTGAATGCTCATGGTAATAAGCCACATTATAAGGGGGTTTTCCTTACTGCTGCAAATTCTGTTTTTTTTCTAGGACAAATATTCCTTAAAAACTTGTGTTTAGGGCGCCTGGGTGGCTCAGTTGGTTAAGCGACTGCCTTCGGCTCAGGTCATGATCCTGGAGTCCCTGGATCGAGTCCCGCATCGGGCTCCCTGCTCAGCGGGGAGTCTGCTTCTCCCTCTGACCCTCCCCCCCTCATGTGCTTGCTCTCTCTCATTCTCTCTCTCTCGGGTAAATAAAATCTTTACAAAAAAAAAAAAAAAACTTGTGTTTACATTTATTTTAAGAATATAAATTTGAAAGCATTGAGTAAATTTAATTTACTTTAAAAGGATTCACCAAAATGGTAAAAATCTTCAGGGGCATTTGAGGGACATGCTATTCCTACAGAAGAGAAAAGATTACAAAGGCACATTACATATTATGGTTATTGTTGCAGCATTTAAACAAAAGCGATCTAAATCATCATTATCACTAATTATTAACAGGCAATTATAATATTCTTTCATAAAAAAGAAGGTACGCTTGTGCACTAAGTGCTCTTGATTCTGGAACCACCTGCACGTAAGTGTCACTAACATGGACCCACTGGCCTGTTGATTCACTGTCAGGTTCTTTCAAACCTAACAAGACAAAAAGAAGTATAATTTTACAATAAGTATGTTCTTATTCTACATTATAAATAACAACACATTCATCACAAACTATATTTATCTAATGCTAGATCTTATTGGTGTGTTTCTTGTGTTAAACATCTTCCAAAATCAACTAACTCTTTCAAAGCAATACTGGCATCACTTCACTTTAAGTATCTAGTGAAATATTAGATAGACTTGTAAATATTTATTTGTTTAAGGAAAAGAATCATTTTCACTGAAATAGAAAGAAAAAAAACAAAGTCAGCTTGTTGATCCATTGGCAGAGTCTGCAAATTTTCAACCCCAACTCTATTCTGAGGACCTGATAGGTCTTCAAAATCTTTTGGTGTTAAGTAAAATGCCACTCCACCTCAATACACAATGACTTAGCACCCTGAAAAAGTGTGTCACTTCACATCATCTAGAAGGGTACAGTCTTATGATATTTAAGGTTCTTTAAGATTATCTAAGTACTCTTAAAAGTATTTTTCACTTAACTTTAACAAAGTGAATCCACTTGCAATATCCATGAAACAGCTTACCTCTTCCAGAAAAGGAAGAATACATTCATTTGTTTTTAGGAATAACAAAAACTCAGGATGCCATACCAGGTACATATGTCTTTCCAGTGATATGCTCCAATAATTTCCTGGAGGGTGTTCTCACTTTCACATAAGCCGTGTAGTGACCTCCCCTCATTGAGCCACTATGTTCCACTACGCCATAGAGACCATAGAGAACTTTATCTCCCACACTTACATTCTTTTAGACAAAGAAAAAACTGGAATTAGTAATTAGTGAAATATTATAATAGGGAAAATTAAGTCAAATATATGTCCTGCTTAAACTAAGAAAAAATGCACTGTTAAAACAACACTGAAATGTGTTTCCACATGTATTAGCCTGGCAAAATGCAAAAGCCTGACAACATTCTCTGTTGGCTGGGCTGTGGGGAAAAGAGTATTCACACACATTGCCTGTGGGAACACAAAGGGGTACAATCCTATGCAGAGGTATTTCATGTTATCTAGCTGAATTACACAGGTATTACTCTTGGGTTTATCAATCCTATTTGTAGGATTCTATCTTACAGGTACATTTGCAAAATGTAAAAAGACATACTATTAGTTATTATTTTGGCTCTTAACTGCAGGAATATTTGTAATATCAAAAAACTGGAGACATGGGGATATAATGTACAGTACATGGGATATAGGTAATAACACTATAACAATTTTGTATGGTGACAGATGGTAGCTAGATATATCATGATCACTTTGTAAGGTATATAAATGTTGAATCACTATACTGTATACCTGAAAATAATATAATATTGTATGTCAACTATACTTTGACTAAAAAGAAAATGGAATAAACCCCCAAAAATCAGTCCCCATTAAATTGGGGACTGGTTGAATAAATTATGATGCATTGAGTGTTTTTTGCTTGAAAAATAGAGTGCAGACTATCTCAAAATACTGCTATGAAATAATCTCCAGGATATAATGTTAAGAGTAAGGTAGAAAAAAAGGATACATATTGTAAGATGTGATTATTTAAGAGTGAAGATGCATATATGCATATCTATCTGCTTGTATTTTTAAAAATTACAGAAGAATAAACGATTTTTAAATGGCTTATATATAAAGGGAGGAAAGAAGTGGAATGGACATGGAGAAGAAAAGCTATACTTATTTAAATTTATCTTGTTTTATACATTTGATACATTTGATTTTGGAACTATATAAATATTTTATGTATTTAGTAAAATTTTAAACATTTAAATTTAAAAAGCAATCCCTAAAATGAAAATATAAAAATTAAACAGGTGAATAATATATTCCAGTTGGCAGCATAATCATTCCACTAAGGTCATGTCAAAAGAACCCAGAAGCCTGCTTGAAGTGGCTTTCAGTAGCCAACTATGGACCCATTTATATTCCATTAATATATTAGACCACGAATAAAAAGAAAAGTGTAGTAAGCTGAAACATATTTAATGTGTTTCAATCCATAAATTAATAATGGTAAATTAATTGATCATAGTTTAAGGATGCCACTGAATTAATTCATTATTCTGAACTGGTTTGGAAGGGGAGTAGGTAAAGAATCAAACATTTATCTAGCCTTTTCTATAAAAACTATATTATAAGATAACTAAATAGATAAACGAATTTCTCTCTGTACAGAAGTGCTCCAGTTGGGGCGCCTGGGTGGCTCAGTTGGTTAAGTGTCTGCCTTCGGCTCGGGTCATGATCCTGGGGACCTGGGATTGGGTCCCACATCGGGCTCCCTGCTCGGCGGGGAGCCTGCTTCTCCCTCTCTCTCTGCCTGCCACTGCCCCTGCTTGTGTGCTCTGTCTCTCTCAAATAAATAAATAAAATCTTAAAAAAAAAGGGGGGGGAACTGCTCCAGCTAATCAATGAAGAAGGAATGACAGATTTAAAATATCACCATTCTGTAATTCTTAACGAACTTCTGGATCTAGCATTTGAGCATCACTGCTTGCTAATATCACAGAAAGAAAGATAAGTGGCATTATGTGCCACCTAATAAAAAAACAAAACAAAACACGCCCTGTAAGATAGCCTTAGCGGGGGGGGGGGGGGAACAAAAGAGCATCAAACCTGTATCTGTTCAAGCCTCTTAAGAGCCAATTATCTATTCAGAGGAAATAAAGAAGACAGGGGAAGAACCATCAAAATCTAAACGGAAACTACCAGAAAGATGACTCAGTTTCTTAAATAAATTGTGAGGGAGAGAAAGGGAAAGGGATGGGAGAGGGGAACTATACATTAAAAGAGACTAAAAGACATTATCCAATCATAATGTGTAGCCCTTACTTGGATACTAATTCATTTTTAAAATATCATTTGTGAGACAACTGGAAATATATACATTAGATGATATGAAGGAATTAGTGCCGATTTTTTTTGTGTGTGTGTGTGAAAGTGGTATTGTGGTTTTATGTTCTTAAAAGGGAGGAGGAAGTGATTCTTATCTTTTATAGATACACAGAAAAATATTTATGAATGAAATAATGCTTGATATTTCCTTCAAAATAATGTGGGAAGTAGTAGGTAAGCATGTGGATATGGCAGGACTGGCCCTGTACCTAAGGTTTTAGAGCTAGGGGATGTGTGCTATATAGGTTCACTGTACTATTCTGTCTACTTCTGTGTATGTTGGAAATTCTCCATAAAAAGTACCTTTTAAAAATGTGTTTTTATAAATTTAGTACAAAGCTTGTTAAATTTCATTTTGTTTACCACATTATCAAATTCTATGAATACAGAGTGTTAATAATTTTGATAGACAGTGCTGGTATTCTACAGCAAATAAATTGTACTCACCAAATAGTTGCTTTTAAGCTATTTTTGTTTGATTCATCAATGTATGGAAAATATTAAGTTCAATAAGTATTCCATTACATACCACAAAACCTAGACTGCTAACCAATAATCATGAACAGAACAATATGTTACCCCATAACATATGTGGTTCCCTGAGGGAAGACAAAGTCATTGAATTCACCTACACAGTTCTCACATATAAATACAAGCAATTATAAACCAGTCAGCTTCTATATCTAATTATTAAAGTATTATCAATTTTACAGTATCCTACTCAGCTAACAAGTACACTATTATCAGTAGTGTGCATGATATAGCATGAAAAACAATGCACTAGTATATTGACTCACAAAAGAGAATGAACTCCACAACTGCTAAAACTATTGTCGATTAAGCACGTCATTCACAAGGAACAGGAGAGGGCACAAAATCTGCTTACTTCTCTCCGCAACTATCTGTTTCTAGTAGCACTGACAAGCAGCATTGATTTTCCTGACCACCACGCTAATGGTTCACACAGCTTTTCAACTGTCCCTTATTCTGTCTCCCAAAGGACAAAAGTCATATTCAGTGTGTTACATGTTCCACGTTACGGATTTAACTTCACCAACTATAAAATTCCCTTTCAGAGAAGCTGAATGAATGAATGAATGACCTAATACTTTTAAGCATAGTATTTACAAGTCAATTAAACATCTTAATAACATACTATACCTTACAAGTAGCAGAACAGAATGGTGCTAAATCAAGTATAAGTGGAAAATCTACATGTCTGTTTACTTTTCGAAGACTCAAGCCAGCCTTAAAAAGACCAAAAAATAATTTTTAATGCAACAAACAATTCATCTACGTCATTGTTAATAAAACCAAAAGAGGAATCCTAGAAGTTAGTTTTTTTAATAGCTATAAAAACATGACTACCGAATAGTCCAAAACTGACATGTAAGTTTGAGACTACTGATTAGTCTGTAAATATTTCCTTTTAAGGGCATGCATTCTTTCTGTAAGTTCCTAAATTGAGATGTAGTACCAAATATAAAATAACTGTGGTACATCATGAAATCAGCTTCTCAGATCTGACATGACCCTATCTTGCTCAGAGTAACTGCACATATACACCCTTCACTAGGCATTCTCATGTAATGAGACACAAGACATCTGCTTCTGCTGTCCACAGCCATTTCACTTCCACTGAGTTTCTACATTCTTGGCTATCACAAATCAAGAATTTAGGGGCACCTGGGTGGCTCAGCCATTGGGCATCTGCCTTCAGCTCAGGTCATGGTCCCAGGGTCCTGGGATCAAGCCCTGCATTGGGCTCCCTGCTTGGCGGGAAGCCTGCTTCTCCCTCTCCCGGCCCCCCTGCTTGTGTTCCCTCTCTTGCTGTCTCTCTCTGTCAGATAGATAAATAAAATCTTAAAAAAAAAAAAAAAAATCAAGAACTTAGTCTAATTTTTTTGTGGATATGGATGGGGATGTATAGAGAAAAATCTCTTCCTACCTACCTACGACCCACCTGAAATGTTGCAGATATATAATCAAAACTCCTAATCTTTTCCTTGAGATTTCTTTCATGGGTTTTATACTTAGAAAATCTTCCCCCAGGCAACACCCTCAGGTCCCCTCCCTCCTTGGGAGTTTTGTACTATCACTTTGCTATCACTCAATAAACCTTGCTTTGCTGCCCACCAAAAAAAAAACAAACAAAAAACTTCCTCCCAGAGGTCAGGTTAATATTCATTTAAGTTTTCTTCTAGTCTTTTGAAGATTTGTTTCATACAGTTAAAATATTTATCTGAAAATAGTATTGATACATGGTATAGAGGGAAGCTTTACATTTTTTATTTCAGCTCTTTTTCCTAAATCCTTTATCAAATAATCTACCCCGTGGGGTGTCTGGCTGGCTCAGCTGGAAGAGCAAGCGACTCTTGATCTTGGGGTTGATCTTGGAGTCATGAGTTTGAGCCCACATTGGGTGTGGGGATTACTTAAAAATAAATAAACTTAAGGGCGCCTGGGTGGCTCAGTTGGTTAAGCGACTGCCTTCGGCTCAGGTCATGATCCCAGGGTCCTGGGATCGAGTCCCGCATCGGGCTCCCTGCTTGGCAGGAAGCCTGCTTCTCCCTCTCCCACTCCCCCTGCTTGTGTTCCCTCTCTCACTGAGTCTCTCTCTGTCAAATAAATAAATAAAATCTTTAAAAAAAATAAAAAAATTAAAAAAAAATAAACTTAAAAACAAAATAATCTACCACTTTCCCAACTGATTTGAGATTATTCCTTTATCATAATAAGAGCTTTAAATAATACTCATGTTTTATTTATTGACAATCTTGACCATACTGTTTTAATTATACAGTTTTATTTTTAAACTGGTGTCAAAAAAATCACCCATTCTAACTTTTTCCAAAATGTTTTAGTATTTCACTTATTTACTCTTTCAGAGGAACTTTAAAATCATTACATCAAATGCAAAAATAAAACAAAAAAACCCCACATAAAAAAAAACCAGACAAGGCATTGGATTAAAACTAAGCTGAGAGGAAAACCTGACACATTAAAAACATTTAGGTTCCCTCTCATTGTAGAGTCCCTACATTTGCATTTTGTAGCCCTTTTTGCATTTAGTCCAAGCCAACCATGTCCAGCCCACTTACCCCTATCACTGGGATCCTGAGAGCTCAGAAAGCTATGTGCACTTTGTTATTTCCCTGCTTCTAAGGATTCTTAATAAACTTTATTTTTCATTCTCTCTCTCCCATACACGTGCGTGCACGCGCGCACGCGCGCGCACACACACACACACCCCTTAGGTTCCTACCACCTAAACCACCAAATACAGTATCATGAATTAAACCATTTTATTTAGAAAAGTCTTGTAAGCTATTATGGATAAAAAAAGCAGTAAATCCTTTATGACAAATTTTTAAATTAAACAAGTTACTGTCTAATCCTTTGACAGCATTTTACAAGATGTAGGGTTCTGCAAAACATATGACAAAATTACTACAGTGCTACTAAAGGGACTTTTACCTGATGGAATCTTTTAAGATGGAGAATTAGGATAGCTGGAACAGCAGAAATGAGCAATTGCTTCCTGGCATTAGTATAAACTTCTGCTTTCTTTTCTGCATAAAATAATAATAATTTTTTTGTAAAATTCCATTTTATACATTATATACCACGTAACAGAGTTAACGTTTATAAAGAAGCATCATACCATATTTTTGAAAATGTTAAAAAAGAAATTAGACTCTGGTGACAAGGGTGCCTCTATACTACTTTCCAAACTCCACTGAAATGAAAGGGATTTTTTTAAAAAGGACACACTTACAAGAACAAAGAATAGGGGAGGTGAAACTTGCAACAAAATTTTGGGAGCTGGGAAGCAGATGGACTATAGCGACTTATGTCAATGCCCTCCAAAGACCACCAGAAACAGACCTGTAGTTGAAAAAAATGGGTCATTACTCACTGTAGTGAAAGGAGATCACCACAGGGCATTTCAGTAAGAGGTTGTTAGAAAATAGTTGGGATGGGATTTGAATATGGCCAACAGCATATTTAACTTGGATTAATGTAAGGTGGTATTTCTTCCTTCTCCCATCTAGACATTTCTTTAATTACTAGTGTATTAAACATGTCTTTATTCTGATACTTTGATACCTAGGGCCTTGCTGACATTATAGGGAAGGCTTCAGCCACAACTAGCAAATTCCTAGATATAATAAACAATGTAAGTGTGCCTCTCATATGCAACCAACCAATCCAAAGCCTATACTCAACCACCTCCTTTATTGGGCTCTGATACACTAGGCCACTATCCATCTGCCCTCATCACACTAGGGTCAGGTACTATACAACTAGAGACAGCCCCCATGCCCCAGAGCCCACTGAAATTATTCAAAACTAGTCAATCCTAAACCTTGTTGATTCTAACTCCTTCCCTGGAAACTACAATAAAGGCTCTTGTCCATGTCTTCTCCTCACTCCTTCTGCCTCCTGACCAACCCTGGTCCTTCCCCATGTGGCCCTGCATGGCATGGCTTAGTGTTCTCCCTCCTCTTCAGAACTGTATGTAACAAACTAGCAGCAACCATCTCCTGATCTATGGGCCTCACCACAATTGAATAATTATAAAGCCTGCATTTTGAAACAACTAGTCGCTAAGAATCGGAGTATTCTCTCCATATCAAGGCTACAGATGTACCAGGGAAATTTCTTCTGGAAAGATTTCAGACAGCTAGTACCCCGAAACAAGATTCTGTGGATTTGCATTTTTCAAGGCAGAGATGGGTACTTCCTGTTCAATTTACTTCATCAAAAATCGATTTAGAAGTCCAGTCACCATCTACAGTGCTGAGGTACAACGATGAAAAAGATAATTCCTGCTTCCAAGCAGCTTACGTGTAGGCACAAGGTTCTCAGGTTCCTCTATTTAGGATCTATAACCCGCTAGTCATTGACTATCAAATACCCTGTGAATACTAAGAAAAACAAAAACCTAAATGTTTACCTGGGGAACCGGTTTCCTTTTGGTACCTCTGCTTCTTTTCAGCACAATTCTCACACAGAAGCTTGTTATTCCCCATTAGTAATTCCATAGATGTAAACTGGTAGAGACAGGACTGAAGTGAGCATTCTTTAGAAGTAGTTACATAGCTCTGAGAAAGGGTCTGAAAAGCATTTGGGGGGCGAGGAGACAGCATATGTTTCTCCTCTGAAGAACATAAACTATTTGGAACACTTGGTGGCTTATTCTCTCTATCAAAATCTCTATCTCCAGTTACAGGGCTGCTCAGATGAAGTTCGGAAATAGCTTCAGCCACTCCCTTGTCACCAGTGCCAGGCTCGCTGGTGGGTGGTCCAGCTGCTGGCGGCTGGGGAGAGGGGGCATGCGGGTGCACACAGCACCCACGGCTAGACCTCAACAACACAGCCTGCTCAGAAGCACTTTCGGATTCTGAAGCCTCGCTGTCTGCATCAGCGCTACTTTCAGAACGGCTGGCCTCTTTCTCACTGCCATCGGTGGGGCTTTCAGTCAGAGCCGACTCGGTATTCGTGATGCTTGCAAATGCTGGGGAATCCCCGTTCATCTCAAGGTGCTCATTTTTCTGGCATATGACGACTGCTCTATCTTCTCCAGATGACAATTTTCTTACACATTTTCTGCCATGAACTAGTTGATTCTGTGTTTTCAGAGAAAAGAATCTTGTGACCTTACTGAAAATAAATGCAAGTCTTATTTACACGTTCCACAATTATTAAATAAATACTTTTCCTAGACCCTCTGAAATCCATTTCCTAAATCTACCTAAACTGCAATCAATAGAAGATAGAATAACAAATAGTTCTAATTTAAAATTAATCTTTATACAAGAAACTCACAATAGCGGTTACTTATCTGTGGAGAAAGAAGCAGGTCTTTGTAGAACAGAGCTGAGGGAGGCTTTTTAATTATAAACCTTTGTACATACTCTCTGGAGTCCTGCCACTTCAAGAGCATTGTAACAGAAAAAGCTAATTCTGATAACGTATCAATTTGCTAAGTTAGTACAAATCATATCACATAAAAAAAAGTTTTTGAAAAAATGAAGTGCAAATTTAGATTGATTTCTTTAAATTTTTATGGGACAATTCAACAACCGGCTATGTCCCTAGTGAAATAATGGGTCTAGACAATGGTCATCAGTGACTGGTAACATCAAAGATTAGACACCAAATATTACATGCATCTCCTTGGTGGAAGTATACACCGCCAGTTAAAAGGTTTCTTGCCAAGGGGCGCCTGGGTGTCTCAGTTGGTTGAGCATCCAACTCTTTTTTTTGTTTTAAGATTTTATTTATTTGATAGAGAGAGAGAGACAGCGAGAGAGGGTACACAAGCAGGGGGAGCAGGAGAGGGAGAAGCAGGCTTCCCACTGAGCAGGGAGCCCAATGCAGGGCTCAATTCCAGGACCCTGGGATCATGACCTGAGGCAAAGGCAGACGCTTAACGACTGAGCCACCCAGGCACCCAAGCATCCAAATCTTGATTTACGCTCAGATCATGATCTCAGGGTTGGGAGATCGAGCCCCATGTTGGGCTCCACACTGGGTGTGGAGCGTGCTTAAGATTCTCTCTCTCCCCCTCTCTTTCCCTCTGTCCCTCCCCAACCCTCAAAAAATAAATAAATAAAATTTTAAATAAATGTTTTCTTGCCAAAAGTCAAATAATAAAACTTGAGCCTAATTAGGCCTTTAGATTGAACTGCCTTAGAGAGGAAATAAAAGAAACAAAGAAATCTGTTAACACCATGGAAATGCAATAGCAAGATAAATTACTATTGAATGTGGGAATGTGAGAAATTACTGGGAAAAAAAATGACCCAATCTCTTCAACAAATACATTGCAAAGTAGGGGAGAAAGGGAGGGGGAAATCTGTAGATTAAACGAGACCTAAGAGATATGCAATTAAGAGATGGCAATCAACTGCAATCTATAGATCTTTTTTTAGATCCTAAATTCAAGCACACCTTAGAAAGCAAAAACAAAAAAGGTATTTATGAGACAACTACAGAAATTTAAATAATGACTGGATGTTGGCACTATTAAAAAGTTATTAATATTTTTAGGTATGATGATGCACTGTGGTTATGTCTTTTAAAATAGTATTTACCTTTTATATCAGAATTATTTCAAAATAATATGAGATGGGGAGGGGGAGAATGTGGGATAGCTACAGATAAAATACGATTAGCCATGATCTGATACCTGTGAATCTGAGAAATAGGTACATGGGAGTTTATAACACTACCTCTCTACTTTTGTATATTTTTGAAACTTTTCTTATTAAAAAGTTTTTTTAAAACAGATGTCTCACAAATGCATATAATCTTACCTTATCTTTAGATGAAGACTGGTTCTTGGTGGCTCTGGGTTCAGAAGTATTTTCTATAGTAACAGTGTCACTGTACTGATCATTATCTGTCGCCTGCGAACTTCTATATTTACTCATTCTTCCCAAAAGTACCGGTTTTGAAACCTATATAGATGCCATGTACATAACACAAAACTTATTTAGGAAATGAATTCTGGATATCACCTACTTTTTTGAATTTCTAACTCATGTGAAATTAGATAATTTCCTTAACATTAATTCTCAAACTGTAAAACATAATGGTTTGAAATCCCTGAGAGTAAGAACTATATCATAATTTATGCATATATACACAAACCCCAGTATCATTTACACTCTATGAACTCCATTATCATAGATAAAAAAATGATTCTCAGATAATGTGATAACATGCTCAACAAATGTCTAAGTATATGAATGAATAAATGCTCTTCACAAAAGACTCATTATGAAGTTTTTTTCTCCTTACCCTTTCTTCTATTATAGGAAGTGAAATATCAATAAAGGGATCGTTCACAGAGGAGATCTTAAAAAGAAAACATATTGAGAAATTCAGTTAGAATTCTAATATAGACAATGTAGTTTTGTAAAGTCTTAAAGAAATCAAACTCCCCAGGCAACTTAGAATTTCAAGTTTAAAAACATCCCTGGAACAAACAGTGATTTTAATTGGGTAGAGCAGCACATATTGTTAATCAAAACAAAATATCCCAAAGCCTCAATAAATGCAACCCAGTTGAATTTTATAATATTGCCAATACGACTAACTTATAATATTCAAAGTAACTTCTAAATTAACTGTGTTTAATAAAACCGATCAACTAAAGATATAAACATATTTTTGGTGAAATTATGCCACAACATAAATCAAATAGAAGTATTAAAAAAAAAAACAAAAACAAAAACAACCCAGAGCGCTTGACTGTGTTTTGTAGCTTCTTAGGTGAGCTCTGTTTAAAAAGATTCTCTCTAGCTTGTGAGACAGAAATCAACTTCTATGTTGAAAATACTAGAAATTTAAGTAATATCATGTTGATAAATGCTGTGCTTCAACATGACAGGCTAGAAGGAGATGTAACATATAATCCTGATTTTATAAGACTAGAGAGAAAAGAAAGGTACTCGATAATCTGGGACAGGAAAATGGACATAACGACTCTCCATTTTATGATTAAAATCTAACAGAAGTTTACACCTATCATACTCTAAGCCATACATTTTCAGAAATATTCGTTACCAAATAATTAAAAACCTATAAAAATGTTTATGTGTTTTAAGTTGTTGTTAAAGTACAGATGGCATTCAAAATAAAAATTATCATTTCATTCAAAGATGAGTCTACTTTAAACAAAACTTCAACAAGTTATATAAATGTAAACTTTAACTAAAATGTGGTAGATCACCCTAAGTTATTAGAATCATACTTTAGGGCAATGCATAGTTATATGACATAGTTATTCCCTTCCCAGAAGTTTCTCTTCCATTTCAATCCAAACAAGTACCTAACACATTGCAGAACACTAGAGGAGGCTAAAAGAACGTCACGGGTTTGTTGAGAGGAAAAAACACTTTAAAAATGATAAATTATGTTCTTCCTCTGGGAGTGAAGGATATATCTAACGACTTTTAAAATCTATTACGTAGTCATCCGTCACTAATAAAAATAAATGCTGATGATTATATGTGAAAGAAAACAACAAATGATGATTGTAATCTATTCCATGTTGAAGTGAATTCCAAAGCACCTACATTTGCACATTCTTCACACATGACTGTGCTAGTTAATTCACCAATAAAGATCCGATCTATGAAGTTCATTTTCACACCTTCTCTTCCATACGCTGTAAAAATAATACTTTTTAATGCAAAAAATATGTCAACCATCAACCTAACAATGTAACATGCTTTTTCTCTGTTGATTCAAAGGAAATCTGAGTAAGATAGATGTCCAATACATTTAATACATTTTATCGTATGATGTTATAACGTCTTTTTCTCCTTTACAATTCTGTAGAGAAAATTTGATTATCAACTACAGTAGTCTCCAAGAAATAATGAACAGTTCTTAAACTTGAGGCAAAATAGGTAGACCAATAACCACTGTTCAGATCATACCTCAACTGCTCCCATTAAACCCTTTAAAGCCTCTGTACCTAACGTAGAGGTAGACAGAGGGATGAAAAAGATTATGCTTTTAGGGCTACAGATGCCTGGACCATAACTATGGAAACAACAGAGTAGTAAAAGACAAGTAAACATAGTAGAACGTAAAGAATTAATTTGGGCAATTAGTAACATTACATACACACACACACACACACACACGTGTGCGTTCAGTATAAAATGGTAAAATTATTGTGTTTGGGAAATATTTATAAATCAAAGAAAATCATGCCTGTGATTTGCTTCAAAATAATCAGGAGTTAGGAGAACATAGATAAAACATAATACACCATGAATTCAATGTAGTTTAAGAGGGGTGAGGAGTACACGAGGTTCTATCATACTATTCTCTCCATTTCAATAGATGTTTAAAACTTTCCACAGTAAATTATGACAAAAAATATATATTAACAAACCTCACTCCTCTTTCAAACTTCTATCCTTTTTGGATCTCTAACTTCAAATTTTATTTTATTTTTTTTTTTTATTTTTTAATTTTTTTAAAGATTTTATTTATTTATTCATGAGAGATAGAGAGAGAGAGGCAGAGGCAGAGGGAGAAGCAGGCTCCCCATGGAGCAGGGAGCCCGATGTGGGACTCGATCCCAGGACCCTGGGATCATGACCTGAGCTGAAGGCAGACGCTTAACCAACTGAGCCACCCAGGCGTCCCTCTAACTTCAAATTTTATACAAACAACATTTAAAGTCATTTCAAAACATTATTTGAAGTATTGAATGTCACAGCCAACTTATAGACATATCAATAAACATCTTTTAATATAATGATAACTATTTAGAAGTTACTAATGTAAACTAAGACGTTTCATTAAGAAAATTGTACAAGGGATTGAAAATAGAAAAGATTACACAAAACTGGAAGGAAAGAAAAACTGGGCAGTTATTCTAAACATACACTAGATGGCACTATCTCAAAACAAACAAACAAACAAAAAACCCCAAGCATACTTGAGAATCCACATTTTAAAACATCTTGAACCCTTCACATGAAACTAATGTAACATTGTGTGTCAACTATACTTTAATTAAAAAAAAAAAATCTTGAACCTTTCACTGCATATAGTTTGGTCATGTACAATCACAATATGTATGTTTGTTTATGAATTATAGACAAGTAGTGTGTATATATAATACCACAAATAAATCGAAGTTAGAAAAGAAAATAAATAAAATGCAAAAAATATTTTAAACATTTAAAAATGATGACTTTGTACCAGCATCAGTTAATATCTGAAGACAAAATATACAGTTAGGACAAGGTAAATCACTCATATCATGAGCTGTAAGCCCACACTTAAATACTGATAATTATAAATAATCAGCTTTGATTAGATAATCACTGGTTTTGCCTCATACTTTGGCTGATGAAGAGTCGACACTAGAAGTAAAGTAGACATGTATGTTTGATTTAGTACTCTCTCCAACCAATCTTTGGAACACTTAAGCATTCTGACTAGTTAAAACTGTATAATACCCATAAATCCACTTATCCAAGCATAGGTCAACTGCAAAATGACACAATATGGTGAAACGGAACTCCCAGCGAGGCTGCTGCTTTCCACAACCTTTCAAGTCTCCCTTAGGATACTTCACATTAGGGTTATCAGTGTCAGTCTGTATAGTTGATACTAGTTTTAGTTTTTAAAGTTCACATGGACGCATTCTAACATCTTTCTATGACCCAGTAGACTATCTTGGCAGCCACTGGAGTAAGTACACTCTCCTTTTAAGGCCACTGCTTTACAGAATTAGTTCACATAATGCTCAGTTCTTTTTCCCCTGAAAAGAAACGTACAATTTTCTTCTAGGAGAAAGTTTTAACAGTGAATGAATCAACATACCTTTGACTTTTTTTCTAGTATCATCATCAGCAGTTTTAGTAGTTGGGTTGTTAAATGCTTTTAGAATGCTAGCTTGTATTCTCTATAAAACAAATAAGAATTTCGTAAGAATCCATATTTGAATGTATTCTTATAGGTTTAGAGTAAGTTCTCCCTCTTTTCCCTCCTCTCCCACACTCTACCACTCTGTCCCTAAAATGATGTGTCATTTTAATCAGGACAAAAAGTAACACAGAGACCATGTGGAACTTCTTATCTATTGAAGAAAAAATTTTACTATATAAGAAGCTATTAAACTGGTCACTATGATCTTCACCTAGATTATATATATTCCTATATGAGTAAAGTCCAGAACATCAAATAATTTCCACAGCAAGAAGAATACCCCAAATCTTGATCAGTTATCCTTTTATTTGAATTCAGTTGTCAATAATGATTACTAGTATTAAAGTCTTTAGCAGCTCTAAGGAAATGACAAGATCTATATGTTTCCATAGCTCTTTATATTTCAGGAAAGATCCAATATCACAGAAAACTTTCAGAATGAAATAAAATCAGATTCCAAGAATAAAGACATTTGAGCTAATAAATTATCATCTTTTATACTAATTATGTCCCTCCTTAGTGGATGAATTTAATCTTCTCAAATTCACATTTTTACAGTGCAGTGAGAGAAAAGCTTGTTAAAAAAAAAAAAAAACTTCTGGAGGATAATTAAGTAAAGTCTTAATCACAGGTTTTCATAGGTGAGACCGCTGTTTGACCTGGACTTCCTGAAAATGATACCTAATTCTGTTCTTAAAAAAATATTATATTAAAGAAAAATGAAACTCAAACTGCAGACTTGCCAGAGAATCATAAAAGTACTACATATCAGAATACAGACACTTTCCACTGTTCAGAAAATTCACAGCCTTAAATATTTAAATCAATTGAATAGAATAAAAACAAATTAAGCAGCCACATCATAAATTTAGAAAAAGAATATCAAAGCTAAACGAAAGTAAATAACAAAACTCAACAAAAGAGTTAATGAAGACAAAAGTATATAAATTGAAGAGACTAATAAATGAATCAAAAGCTGATTTTTGGGTGGAGGATAAATAAACTTACTAGTCAATCTTAATCAAAGTAAGGATGAAAAGCATTAACATCACACCTAAGAAAAAGGAAACCACTAACAAAATTAAGGATATTTTAAGTAATCATGAGAGACTACTTTGCTCCACTCTCATGTAATTACATTTGAAAATTCAGAAAAAATTAGATAATTTTCCAGGAAATGAGTTCCAGAAGAGAGAGAGTACCTTCCAGCTTTCATGGGGTAGGTGAATGGGCAGAAAGAGAAGAATGGTGTTACACAGTAACTCCGTACAAAAAGTTCCAAGCCCTAACTTTTCAGAGGAATGCCACTAAACATATGTTCCAGAGCATAAAAAAGGGAAGCCTCCAAATTATTTTCATGAAGCATAATATTGGTATCAAAGCTGACAGAGAACATATACAACACACACCAACATCACGTATGAAAAAAATTCTAAATAAAATACAGAAGCACATTAAAATAATACACTATCATTAAGACTTTTGTTCTAGTAATGCAGGGATATTAGGAAATCTATTCATACAAGCCATCATATTAATAGATATAAGAAGCAAAACATTATTTAAGATTAAATTCCTTGATTTATTACTATTATTTAGTAGGACTGTATTAGTGTTCTAGTCAATGCATTTGATAGAAAAATAAATCTGAGTATAAAAATTATAAAGGAGATAAAATTATTTGCAGATGATATGACTTTTTACTTGGAAAAACCAAAAGAACAAACTGAAATGAAAAACTACTATAAATAATAAAAGAATTTGATATGGGGTATATAAATATAATGAAGTCAATAGCCTTCACACAGACAAACAAAAACCAGTTAGAAGCAATGGAAGAAAATGCCCCATTTATAATAACAACTAAAAAGATAAAATAACGAATAAACTTAAGGGTTGTGTAAGATCTAAATGAGGAAAACTTAAAAACACTACTGAAAGACACAAAAGAAAACTTGATCAAATGGAAAGACACACCATGTTCTTCAACGGGTCCTAAATAAACATTTCAATCTTGCCCCCTAAATTTATGAATTTAACATAATTCCCGTAAAAATAGCAATAGGTTTTTTTTTTTTTTTAATGTGAGAGATTGAAGGGGGAGATTAGTCCTAAACTAGATATGGAGGAATAAATAAGAATAGCAATGAAAAATCGGTGGGGGAGAACAGGAAGTGTAGTGACAAATGACTGGTCCCACTAGATTTATTAAAATGCATTAAAAAATGGGCAGAGGACCTAAAGAGGCGTTTTTCCAAAGAAGCCATACAGATGGTAGACAGACACATAAAAAGATGTTCAATATCAGTAGTCATCAGGGAAATACAAATCAAACCTGCCACGAGATATTACCTCACACCAGTCAGAATGGCTAATATCAAAAAGACAAGAAATAACAAGTGTTGGTAAGGATGTGGAGAAAAAGGAACCCTTGTGCACTGTTGGTGGAAACATAAGTTTAGTGCAGCCACTGTAGAAAACAGTATGGAGATTCCTCAAAAAATTAAAAATAGAAATACCATATGATCCAGTAGTTCCACTAGTGGGTATTTTTTTAAAGATTTATTTATTTACTTACTTATTTGAGAGAGAGATAGCAAGAGAGAGTATGAGCAGAGAGGAGAGAGAGCAGGCTCCCCGCGAGCAGGGAGCCCGATGTGGGGCTCGATCCCAGGACCCTGGGATCATGACCTGAGCCGAAGGCAGATGCTTAACTGACTGAGCTACCCAGGTGCCCCTCACTAGTGGGTATTTACCCAAAGAAAACAAAAACACTAATTTGAAAAGATATATGCACCCCTATGTTTATTGTAGTGTTATTTATAATAGACAAGATATGGAAGCAGCCATGTGTCCATCAATAGATGAATGAATAAAGAAAATGTTCTAATGGAACATACAATGCAATAATTACTTGGCCATAAAAAAGAATGAAATCTTGCCATTTGCAAAAACATGAAGGAACCTGAAGAGTATTATGATAAATGAGATAAGTCAGACAGAAAATGATAAATATCATAAGATCTCACTTATATATGGAATCTGGTACAGCACTCTGGAAAACAGTATGGAGGTTCCTCAAGAAGTTAAAAATAGAGCTACCCTACGACCCAGCAATTGCACTACTGGGTATTCACCCCAAAGATACAGATGTAATGAAAAGAAGGGGCACATGCACCCCAATGTTCATAGCAGCAATGTCCACAATAGCCAAACTGTGGAAGGAGCGAGATGTCCCTCAACAGATGAATGGACAAAGAAGATGCAGTCCATATATACAATGGAATATTACTCAGCCATCAGAAAGGATGAATACCCAACTTCTACATCAACATGGATGGAACTGGAGGGTATTATGCTGAGTGAAATAAGTCAGAGAAAGACAATTATATGGTTTCATTTATATGTGGAATATAAGGAATAGCATGGAGGATCATAGGGACAGGGAGGAAAATCTGAATGGGAAGAAATCAGAGAGGGAGACAAACTATGAGAGACTCCTGACCCTGGAAACAAACTGAGCGTTGTGGAAAGGGAGGTGGGTGGAAGGATGGGGTAACCAGATGATGGGCATTAAGGAGGGCACATGATGTAATGAGCACTGGGTGTTGTATGCAACTAATGAATCATTGAACACTACATCAGAAACTAGTGATGTACTATATGTTGGCTAATTGAATTTAAATTAAAAAACTTCAGTGCCTTCATTATATTAATTTAAAAAAAGATTTCACTTATATGTGGAATCTAAAAAACAAAATGAACAAACAAATAAACAGATTCTTAAATTCAGAGAACAAACTGGTGGTTGCCAGAGGGGAGGGAGTAAGAGGATGGGCAAAATAGATAAAGAGGATTAAGAGGTACAAACTTCCAGTTATAAAATAAATAAGTCATGGAAATGAAAAGTACAGCATAGGGAATATACTCAATAATATTGTAATAATGTTGTATAGTGACAGATGGTGACTATACTTATGGTGAGCACTGAGTAATGTATACAACTGCCAAATCAATGTTGTACACCTGAAAGTAATATGTCAATTATACTTCAAAATATTAAAAATTGAGGAAAAAACAATAAAATGAATAAACAGACTGCAGCATAAAAAAAGAGAGAGGGAAAGAGAGATGCAATTCTGGAATGTGCTCTATAGACTCTTTGCCCTTGGAAAGGATAGGGTGGAGTAAGATGATAAAGACGATGATGTTAGATTTTTTTTTAGTCTTTTTCAAAGGGAAGAAAGTGTATCAAGAAGGAGGTCCCACCAGCCACTAATGAAGAAATTTCATATGTAGAGAAAGTCTGTGACTGATGCATGAAAGGAAGAGAAAATATGCCAAAGTTTCCTTTGCAAGTTACTATTCCAAACAGAGAATAACAGAGCTTAAGGCAAAATAGGTAATATGGAGATCCAGACTTTCATTTTGAAATTAATAAAATGTGGTTGATTATATAAAGAAAAATGCATTTAAACCTTCATAATTTAAAGTATGATCCTAATAATCAAAAAGATAAGCAAACAGAATCAAGGGCAAGTTGAGAAATAAGCCCAAATACATATGAAAAATTAGTATAATTAGGGTGTTACCAATTTAGCGGGAAAAGCATACTATACAGTGTGGATAACCGTAGGATAGTCAAATGGGAAAAAAGGAAATATTCTGGGAACAGGATAAACCTCAATAGATCAAGATTTAAATCTAAAAATGAATTATAAAGTACTAGGAGAAAACATGGGGAAATTCTTTTATAACCTAGGAGTGGGAATGCCTTTTTTAACCATGACTCAATATCCAGAAGGCTTTTAAAATAAAAGACTGTTAAATTCAAAACCAAAAAATTTTTAAACTTTTTTACCTAAAAAAAATATGCTGCCAAATTATAAGCAAAATCAAGACACAAATGACAAACTTGGAAATATATTCTCTCCCTAGTATACAAAAAGCTTTTAGAAATCAGCAAAGGATCAGAACTCAGCAGAAAAAGGGGTAAAAAATAGGCACAGAGGAAAAGATATTCAGCTTCATTCAAGGAGAAATGTATACTAAAACCACCCTGAGATGCATTTTTCTACCCAGCTGATTGGTAAAAATTAGAAAGTTTGACAAAACAGTCTTTTGGTGGTGCTGTGGGGAAAGAGACTCCCTTACATGGCATGTAGCTAACAGAAGTGAAAATTGTATGCCTATGGAGGATATCAAAATTACAAATGGATAGATCATTTGATCCAGCAATCTCATTTCTATATGTATGCAGATATACTAACACACATGCAAAATAACACAAATACCTTATTCATCACAGCATTATGCATAAAAGCAAAAACACTGGAAACATACATATAAGAGAGAATCACTAAGACACTGGTTTGATATCTTCAGGTAAAAAAAAAAAAGAGAGAGAGAGAAGCTTCCTATCTTCTGATATGAAAAGACTGTTACAATTAAGTGAAAAAAGACAAAACTGCAAAACTGCAGAAAGTGTTCATATAGTATATGCCACCTTCTGAATAAAGAAAGGAGAAAAATACACACACACACACACACACACACACCACCACCACCACCACCACCACCACCACCACCACCAAAGGAGAGCATAAACAAGAAAGACAACATAGTTTACGGGCAACAGCAGGGCCAATGCATAAGAGAGGCAAGAGAATTCCCAGAAGCACAGTTAGTGGGAACTCCAGAACGACACCTGTACATCCAATGTGGGAGGCAACCAACCCATACTGAAGCAGTGAGACCAGGAGACAGACACACTGTCAACACTAAGATCCCCTCTGCTACTGTACCATGTTTTAAATCTGAGAACAGAATATATGGGGAATGAGCTGCTACCGTCCTTATCCTCCCCATGCTCTGCTGTGGATCAATCAGAGTATACACATTACCTAACCCAAAGTCGTTCTGCTCTGACCTATTCCTGAGAGCAAAGAGGTGGGTCATGATGAACTCAGAAGCAGAAAATACGGAGCAGCCTTTAACGTTTTTGGACCAGAGAGCTAGCACCTGGTCTCTCCTATAACTCTGTCAGTTGCTTGGAGAAGCATGGCTCAGAACACATTCATGACCTTGCCCACTGACTTCCCCCAGAAAGAACTCTTAGAAATTCTGGGACGCCAAAGCCAAACTATGTTCCAGAGATTCTCTCAGTCCCTCTTCTTTTGGGAGCCTTCATCCAATAATGACAAAAGGTTTGTGCTTGCTAACCAGTTATGCAAAACTAAACAATCTAATTGTTTAAGCATACACAGATCGCTCTCAAAACTATAAGACAATGAAATGATTACTGTAAAAGTAAAAAAAAAAGTCGTTCCCTCTGATGAGGAACACATGTTTGAAAAGAAAGAACAGGTGGCTTCTATGGCACTAAAACATTCAATTTTTTTTAACTCTGGGTGTGATGGTGAGGAAGGTTTCTAGTGGTAAATGACTTTTCTTTATATTATGCTTTAAACGGTATATATATCTGCATACATTCTTCTGTATATAGGATACATTTCATGGTAAGTGTCTGATACCTTCCCCCAATAGTTGTGAAACTGAGTTTCATTTATTAACCGGCCTAAGATCAGCACACTATATTTCCTAGAACTGCTCACTATTCTCTTCAAGTATATTTTGAAAGTTGATGCAAGATTCAAAAACTTAAATATATACAAAGTAGGGTATAAAAGTAAACATACAGCAATCTGTGCCATGTCATACTATCTTGAAATATATGTGAAGAAAATCAAAATCATAAAGTATGTCCCAAAAGCTATTAAATAGTGAAATAATCTCCAATTCAGACACAATAAATTTGAAAATTGATATAATTCAGATACTGTCTGAGCTAAAGCTGACTTTTATACCTTTAAAAAAGAATTGATTGAATGAAAATAAATTAGAATGGTATGAATTCCATGCAGGAGAATGGACTTAAATAAAGATTCCAATAAATACCATATTCACCTGTAAATATTTAGTATAACTGTAAAAAGTCTCTCCAGCCAGCAAAGATAAAGAACTCTAAACCAAGTTATAAGTCTATAAATTTATTTTACAATTTGAATATTTTACTAATTCAAACATGACTTTCAATATGATTTAACGAGTCTTTGCCATTTTCAGAAATGTAAACTATAATATCAAACTCTTAAAAAGGAATAAAAACAATGGAGTTGTTTAAATTATTAACTTTTAAACTATTAGACATTTGCTTTTTTATTGTATCTTAGCCACAAATTTATATTCTCTAAACTGTTAAAGGAGTTAATTAATAGGTAATTCATCAAGTTGAATAAAATAAATGAGTTTAGGTCTATCTACAGCCTCTCATTGTTGAGAGTCATTCTTTGAACCATTTAAGTTAAAAAAAAAAGAGACACGCGGCACGCACACGCGCACACACACACACACACACACACACACACACTTTGGCCAGGAAGCTGCTAACAACTGCAGCACATTAATCAGTTAGCAGTGTCAAGGTTCAACTATTTCAAATCTCCACCATAAACTTCTTTCAAAAATAAGAATACATAACACTCATGGCTTAACAGTCAGCTGAGACAGTCTGCCTTTAAAATAGTCCTAACCAATAATGCATCAGTGATGTATCTTTGGAAATAAAATTGTAGTATTGTTAATTTGGTGAGAGCTCAAATTAAAAGCAAGATAGTGAAGAAGCACATACCTTGTAAGCTGAAAAGACGGCCTGTAAAAGAAGTTCTTACAGTAAATTTGATTTTATTTTGTCCACGAAAAATGTACAATTTTGGCACAAATGATCCCTTTAGCACTCTATTTGGCAAGAGCATGGTATAGCCCTCAACTTTACAGTTATCAGGAAAAAACTTCAATGAAACATTATGAAAGGGGGTCAGTAGTTTTTAATCATACGACAAGGTTCTGGTGGCAGACATAACGCTGGAGCCTTTCTTCAATCAAAACACACATGGCAGTGACAAACTACAATGGCAGCACGGTTACCAGCTGTGGGCTTCCCAGGCCAGACAATGCAGCTCCTGCATGGGGACTCACTGTACCTGACTGCACCACTGTCCTTGCTTACGAGACTGAATAAATCCACGGACTTGACATTTTAATTGTGCCACACCGTCTAAAGCCCTCAAATAGGGGAAGATTAAGAGCTTTCAAAAAGCCATGCTTCCCCCTGTACTGCCTGAGTTTTTAAGACACTGTGAATCTTAATGCACCATTATGACAAAACAATAATTTAATTGTAACAAAGAATGCCATCAAGTAAAATAGGGGAAAAAATAATAGAAACAGATTTTATAGTTTTATCTTAATATTGACAGAGAAAAACAATGTAGAGAGGTAATTTTTAATTCCATTTACAATGATACAGGACCATGTAGTAAACATATTCTTACAAACCATAGTGGAAGAACAATCATTCTAGAAATTGATAGTCTGAATTAATCTTAAACTAACTCCTATGTCGTCTGTAGGCTCAGAAGCATCAATACACATTTATCATTTAAGATACAAGTTTTGTTATATCTCTCCCCAACTTGCTGCCTTGTAAATCCCTTAACTGATTTTTTAAAACAAATTACAGGTAAAACATAATGTAGTATTATCCTGTCAATTTATCAGTTCATTCAAATTATAACATATTCAAAATAATTGCAAATCCCCAAGAAACTAGGTCGTATAACTTATTTAAGAAACTGCTTTTTTCCAATTCAAATTCTCAACAGATATTGTCCATTTAAAATTAAGTACAGAAAACTTACTCAACACACATTCACCAGGCACCTACTATGTGCAAGGCACATGGGATACAGAGAGTCATTCCGTGAGATTACAATCTAAGAGAGGTGATAAAAACATAACTCTAAATAGAAGATGACAGGGTTCATAATTGAAATATATAGAGTATATCCAGGAGGGAAAGATCCAGGAGGGAAAATGGCAGTGGAGTACGAGGATCCTAGGCTCCCTTTGTCCCATGAATACAACTAGATAATTACCAATCATCCTAAATACCCCAGAAATCAACTGGAAGACTGGCAGAACAAACCCAACAACTAAAGTTAGAGAAGAGGACACACTGAAGGAGTTAGGAAGTGCAGAGACCTGGTTTGGGAGAGAAACAGCTCATGGCCACTGAAGTGGGGAGGTAACTGCAGTCCTGGAGAAGGGTGAGAGACTAGTGCACAGGGGAGTACAAAGAGAAAATGAATCCTGGGCGCCTGGGTGGCTCAGGTTAAGTGACTGCCTTCAGCTCAGGTCATGATCCTGGAGTCCCAGGATCTAGTCTCACATCGGGTTCCCTGCTCAGCAGGGAGTCTGCTCCTCCCTCTGACCCTCCCCCCTCTCATGTGCTCTCTCACTCTCAAATAAATAAAATCTTAAAAAAAAAAAAGAAAAGAAAATGAATCCCCATAGCAACTGGCTTGGAAAGCAAGAGGGCCCAAATTTTGTGTTCTGGCAACCAATAGGGCTTAAAACCTGGAGTTTTAAAGGTCCAGGGGGTTTGGCTGGGATAGAACCCAGAGGTTACTGCACTGCTGTTGGAGAAAAGGCAGGCAAAGAGCACATGGGCATACAGTGTGTAAACAGTAATCTGAAGAGCACCTGAGGCACACAGTAGGGAGGTTATTTGCTCATCTTGGAGTGCATCCCAGAAAGACGGCATTCATGGAGAGACCCCTCTGGGAACAAAGGAACTGGTAGGCACCATTTTCCTCCCCGCCCCCCATAGCATAAGCACAAGGCCACCTGCGGGAGCCACTCACTACCTAACTTTCTTACACCAACACTCACCGCCCACCCCCCCACCCCCACGGAACTGCCCTTCTAAATTCACATTTGCCTTAGTCCCAGGGTGGTGGGTCCCCTCCCCCAGACCAGCCCAACCCCCTGCCGACACCCCATCTCCCCACATGGGAATTTTGCAGGGCCTCAATGGTGGCAGCAGTGGCAACAGGTTTCAGCACAAACCAACCAGAGCATATCTAATTAAAACTTGCCACATTTGAGAGGTAAATGGCTCTCCAAATGGCTGGCTCAGTTGGAAGGACATGTGACTCTTGATCTTGGAATTGAGATCTCTATACACGTTGGGTGTAGAGATTACTTAAACAAAACAAAACAAATCTTGCCACATTCAGACCAGGGACCAGACACTGCCCACAACAGACACGGAGCGTATCTGCAGATGACTGGCCTGAGGGATAAAATGGCCAGGACATAACAGTAGATGGCACACAGCACACGCTGGACACACTCCCTGAAGTGCCAGGCCCTAGGTAATGGGACATTATATGACAGGCACTACAGGACCTCCTCATAAGGCTGTTACCCTCAAGAACAGGACACAGAGCTTTTTTTTTTTTTTTTTTTAAGATTTTATTTATTTATTTGACAGAGAGAGGCACAGCGAGAGAGGGAACACAAGAAGCAGGGGGAGTGGGAGAGGGAGAAGCAGGCTTCCTGTGGAGCAGGGAGCCTCAATGCGGGGCTCGATCCCAGGACCCTGAGACCATGACCTGAGCCGAAGGCAGGCGCTTAACGACTGAGCCACCCAGGTGCTCCCAGAGCTGACCTTCTTAACACTCAGAAACAGGCACAGGGACTTAGATAAAATGAGAAGACAGAGAAGTTTGTCCCAAATGAAAGAACAGGATAAGGCCATGGCCAGAGATCTAATTGAAACAAATAAGAGTAACATGCCTGATGGAGTATTTAAAGCAATGATCATAAGGGCATTCACGGGACTTGAGTAAGGAGTAGAAGACACCAGTAAGACGTTAACACAGAGATTAAAAAGAGCCAATCAGAGATGAAGAGAGCAATAAATGAGATTAGAAACACACCTGATGCAACAAACAGCAGGCTGGAAGAATCAGAGGAACGAATTAATGACCTAGAAGATAAAATAATGGAAACTAATCAAGCTGAACAAAAGAGAGAAGAATTATACAACACAAGAATAGACTTCGGGAACTCTGACTCCATCTAACATAATAACATTCATTTTATAGGATCCCAGAAGAAGAAGAGAGAGAAAAGGGGGCAGAATATTTATGTGAAGAAATAATAGCTGAAAACTTCCCTACTCTGATGGAAACAGATATCCAGATTCAAGAGGCACATAGAAGGCCCAAGAAAATCAACAAAAGGAGATCCACACCAAGACATATTGTAATTAAACAGGCAAAATATAGTGATAAAGAAAAAAATGGAAAAGGAGCAGGACAAAAAAAAGACAGTTACATACAAGGGAAACCCCATAAGGCTATTAGGGGATTTTTCAGCAGACATTTTCCAAGACATGATCCATTCAAAGTGCTGAATGGGAAAAATCTGCAGCCAAGAACACTGTATCCAGCAAGGCTATCATTCAAAACAGGAGAGGAAAAAAAAAAGTTTCCCAGACAAACAAAAAAATAAAGGAGTTTCTGACCACTAAACCAGCCCTGTAGGAAATATTAAAGGGAACTCTTTGAATGGAAAGGAGAGACCAAAAGTGACAGTATGAAGGTAAGAAACACAAAAGCAGTAAAAATTAGTATTTCTGTAAAAAAAAAATCAGTCAAGGAGCTCACAAAATAAAAAGATATAAAATATGGTATCATACACCTAAAATGTGGGAAGGAGAAGAGTAATGAATGGGTTCAACTTAAATGACCATCAACTTCATATAGACTGCTACACGCAGAAGATGTTATATACGAACCTAATGGTAACCATAAGTCAAAAACCACTAAAAATATGCAAAGAATAAGGAGAAAGAAATCATATCACTAAATATATCACTAGAGAAATAGATCACTACCAAAAACCAGCAAACCACGAAAAAAAGAAAGGATCAGAGAAAATCTTCAGAAACAACTACAAAACAATACAATAGCAATAAATACATATCAATAATTACTTTGAATGTAAATAGACTAATCACTTCAAAAGACACAGAGTGACAGAATGGATTAAAAAAAAAACAAAAAACAAGACCCATCCAAATGCTAGCTATAGGAGACTCATTTCAGATCTAAAGACACCTGCAGATTGAAGGTGAGGGATGGAGAAACATTTATCACCCATAGAGATGTCAAAAGAAAGCCAGGGTAGCAATACTTATATCAGACAAAACAGAATCCAAAACAGAGACTAGAACAAAAGACAAAAAAGGACACTATATAAAGGGGACAATCCAACAAGAAGATATAATAATTGTAAATATTTATGCACCCACATGGGAGCACCCACATACATAAAAGAGTGTATAACAAACATAAAGGAACTAATCAATAATAATACAATAATGGTAGGGGACTTTAACACCCCCACTTACATCAATGGACAGATTATCTAAACAAAAAAATCAACAAGGAAACAATGGCTTTGGATGACACACTGGACCAGATGGACTTAACAGATATATGCAGAACATTCCATCCTAAATCAGCAGAATAGACATTCTTTTCAAGCGCATATGGAACATTCTCCAGAACAGATCATATATTAGGCCACAAAACAAGCCAAAACAAACTCAAGAAGATCAAAGTCATACCATGCATCTTTTCTGACCACAATTCTATGAAACTAGAAATTAACCACAAGAAAAATCCGGAAAGACCACAAATACATGGAGGTCAAATAACATGCTACTAAACAATGAATGGGTCAACCAGTAAATAAAAGAAGAAATTAAAAAAAAAAATACATAGAAACAAATAAAAATAAAATCACCACAGTCCAAAACTTTTGGGATACAGCAAAAGCAGTTCTAAGAATGAAGTTTATAGCAGCAATATTTGCCTACCTCAAGAAGCCAAAAAAAAATCTCAAATAAAAACCTAACCTTACACATAAGGAGCTAGAAAAAAGAACAACAAATAAAACCTAAAACCAGCAAAGGAAATAAATAATAAAGATTGGAGCATATATAAATAATAGAGAAACTAAAAAAAACAATATAACAGCTCAGTGAAATTGGAGCTGGTTCTCTGGGGAAAAAAAAAAAAAAAAAAAAAATCAATTGATAAACCTCTAGCCAGACTTATCAAGAAAAAAAAGAAAAGGACTCAAAATTACAAAGGAGAGAGGAGAAATAACATCACCACAGGCACCTGGGTGGCTCAGTCGTTAAGCGTCTGCCTTCGGCTCAGGTCATGATCCCAGGGTCCTGGGATCGAGCCCCGCATCGGGCTCCCTGCTCTGTGGGAAGCCTGATTCTCCCTCTCCCACTCTCCCTGCTGTGTTCCCTCTCTTGCTGTCTCTCTCTGTCAAATAAATAAATAAAATCTTAAAAAAAAAAGAGAGAGAAATAACATCACCACAAAAATACAAACAATTATAGAAGACTAGTATGTAAAACTATATGCCAACAAATTGGACAACCTAGAAAAATAGATGAATTCCTAGAAACATAAAAACTATCAAAACTGAAACAGGAAGAAATAGAAAATTTGAACAGATAACCAGCAAAGAAATTGAATCAGTAATCAAAAGACTCCCAACAAACAAAAGTCCAGGACCAGATGGGTTCACAGGTGAACTGAACCAAACATTTAAAGAGTTAATATCTATTCTTTCCAAACTATCCCCAAAAAATAGAAAAGGAAGGAAAATTTCCAAATTCATTCGATGAAGCCAGCATTACCCTGATACCAAAACCAGATAAAGACACCATAAAAAAAGAGAACTACAGGCCAATACCTCTGATGAACATAGAAGCAAAAATCTTCAACAAAATACTAGCAAACCAAATCAACAACACATTAAAAAAAAATCATTCATTGTGATCAAAAGGGATTTATTCCTGGATTGCAAGGGTGGTTCAATATTTGCAAATCAAGCAACATGATACATCACGTCAATAAGCAAAGGATAAGAACCATATGATTATTTCAATAGATGCAGAAAAAGCATCTGACAAAATACAACATCCATTCATGATAAAAACTCTCAACAAAGTAGGTTTAGAGGGGATATACCTCAGCATAATGAAGGCCATAATATGAAAAACCCACAGCTAATACCATCCCTAATGGGGAAAAATAGAGCTTTTCCCCGAGGTCAGGAACAAGACAAGGATGTCCACTCTCACCAATTTTATTCAACTGAAGTTCTAGCCACAGTAATCAGACAACAAAAAGAAATGAAAGGCATCCAAATTGGTAAGGAAGCAGTCATTCACTATTTGCAGCCGACATGATACTATATATAGAAAATCTGAAAGACCCCACCAAAAAACTGCTAGAACTGATAAATGAATTGAGTAAAGTTGCAGGACACAAATCAGTATACAGAAATCTGTTGCATTTCTATACACTAATAATGAAGCAGAATAAAGAAAATAATTTCGGGGCACCTGGGTAGCTCAGTCACTTAAGTGACCAACTCAATTTCGGTTCAGGTCATGAAATCAGGGTCCTAGGATCAAGCCCCGTGTCAGGCTCACCGCTCAACAAGGAGTCTGCTTCTCTCCTTCTCCCTCTGCCCTTCCCCCACCTCGCACATGCATGTGCGAGCTTTCTCTCAAATAAATAAATCTTAAAAAAAAAAAAAATCCCATTTATAATTGCATCAAAAATAAGATACTGAGGAATAAACCTAACCGAAATGGTGAAAGACCTGTATTCTGAAAATTTTAACACACTGATGAAAGAAACTGAAGATGACACAAAGAAATGGAAAGACATTCCATCCTCATGGATTGGAAGAATAAATATTATTAAAATGTCTATACTACCCAAAGCAATCTACAGAACCCTAACTCTCTCTTCACTGAAAGCTAGACTACTACATTACAACTGAAGATTAAAAAAAAAAAAAGAGGAAGGTCCACCTTGCATAGTAACATGGTAACAGCTACCACAAGCATATGAGTACTTCATTTTCATATGGTTGCTTTACCACATATTAACATAGATTAAGAAGTATATTTACCTTGAATGGAAAACTGGATTTCACCTATTATGACAATTGTGATTGACAGGGCCTGCCTGCAGTGCTAAGTTGAGAATGATTCTGAGGCTGAATCCAGACTCAGTAGAACTGTTATAAAGGATTAATAATGTCTGCTATGAGTGAAAAAGGGAGAATGAGGGTATGTACTATGTACTTGACATCTTTAATATCTTGCATTTTCTCTGAAAAATTGTATGCCATTTGCAGGACCCCACCAAAAAAAAGATGAATTTCACTCATTTAATATTAAAGTCACCTACCACCCAATCGATTAAGGGATAGGATTACAATGAACACTAGGGAAATCTATCCAGACCATGAGCCATTCCTTCCTTTCTCAGAAACATTCCCGGATCCAGGAGGCTGGAATCCTTCTTCCCTTGTTACAAATGACTAATCCCTGAGTGGATCCTAATCCAACATGGGGTAACAAAGTTTCTCTCTTGGGAATTCAGAATTAGGATTCACAAACAGCCAGTTTTGTTTTTATATATGCAGAACTGCAACATATGCAAAATATGGAGATCATGTGCTACCATTCAGAGAGAGAAGCACAGAAACAACTCAGTCTGTGGGGAGATGAATAAAGAAAATCTACAGAGCCAGAGAAACCAGGGAAATTAGGAGAATATTCTCTGGATTCCGGAGAACCTTCCTGTCCCTAGATTCTTAGATTCTCTTTTCTTTAAGCTAGCTTGAGTTGATTTTTTATTTATAGACAAAGGGTATTAACTAATAAAGGATAATAGGGTTGCAAAGACTAGGAGAAAATATTCTTTTAGAAGAAGAGGCAAAAAAATATATAAAGGAATAAACAGAAAGGAAAAAAAATCAAATTACTTCTTAACCTACATTAAAATGATGGTAGAAATTAATTCCTTCAGTTTTGTACCCTCCTCTTAAAGAGCATATGTGATAAACTTAACAAAATCTGACCTTTGTTTCTTCTGTCCTCACTGCATCCAGCAAATAATGCAGAAGCTCCTGACTGTCCTGTTGCTGGAAACTTTTAAATCGGGGGGCCCTATGATTTAAAAACAAAACAGGAAAGAAAAAAAGATCATTTCATCAACAATATATTACTACCATCTAAAATCATTTTTACATAGCATATAGTCAAAGATTCAATTTAGTCCTTTTCCTACTAAGTAGAAAGACCAGATATTTAGGTGATTTCAGTATTAAAAAGTAGTATTTTCTGCAATAAACTCCAATACTAAAATGAGCATTTTGCCTTAAATGAAAATAAGTACTAAATTTAGATAGTGCTCTAAGACGAAGAAAGAATTTTGTCTAAGGAATATAAAAGAGCAAGAATATGTTATGGTAGTACAAGTTCACAATGGTCTCATTAAGATATGTGCAACATATCTCATTTGATATGCACAGCAGTGCTGTTAAGAAATTCATAATTAATATGAACTCTGTTTTACACTTGAGAAAACTGAAGAACAAGCTAAGTGCCACTGACATAAATCCAGGTCTTTTGATTCTTAAGTCCAGTACTTTAAGCATTATTTCTCATCTCATAATAAATATTCACCCCAGTAATGCACTACTGTGAGTCCCGGGTGCTAAAAAACTATCTGAAATAGTAGTGAATCTAGCCTATAACAGGAGTCATAATTTCAGTTACTCACTCTTGTTAAGAAGTAGCAAAAGCAATAGGATGTTGAGAAGACTCTGATTTACTCCCCTTGTGGGCTTCCCCTTCCACATGTGATAGCTATTGTTCACCTTCTAGATCAGAGTTGAGGACAGAAACCAAGATGGACACAAATCCCAACCCTATTTGGGTTTCCATGTCTGGAATCCATATAAGGCTGAAATTGGATGACATGACACTTGTGCTGGAGGCATCAAGGAAGGCCAATGAAATGGAAGAAGACTGCAAGGGGAAACCAGGGAATCCTTCAGAGATCCTCATCTGCCAGGTGGCAGGTAGGAGGACCAGTCTATGGCTTTCAAAGGAGATGCACAGAATGGAAATTGTTCCCGAACAAAGGAGAAACTGTCTCTACCATGTCCCTGCCTATATCTCCATCTTAACTATGCACAATGCAGTACTGCCTTCTCAACCATTCAAGAAAATTTAATAAACCTAGATTTTTTCTTTCTTCTTCTACCTAGGACTGGGTAAAAAATTCTATGATGACTTACAGAATCTCTAATGGAGCCTATCTGATCTACCAATACTAAAGAGACCTTCAAACTTAAAGAGAAAAATCAACAAACATATGAAGAGATTCATGTATTCAAAATGAGGAGAACATGAAATATAAACAGGAAATGTACCTTAGTGAAAGTGTTACTGTGGGAAAGAGGAGAAAACTTAAAAATCTCAAGTTGTAAGAGGAAAATGTATGCATACTCATAAAACAGGAATAGATTATCAAGAAAAAGAAATTCAGAACAAGAGAGAATTCGTGGAGATGTCTTGTGGATGAAGATGAATCAGTCTGTTGCTAATCCAAAAACTCTCTCTACTCCAGGCATATTGACAAAATATAAAAAGAGAAAACAAACAAACAAAAATATATATACATCAAAACTTACCCAATGGTATACTTTAAATATGTACAGCTTACTGCATGTCAAATATACTTTACCAAAGCTATTCAGAATATCCATTAATACAATTCTTGTATCAACAGATTAAAAAACATATGATATTTCAACAGATGCAGAAAAAGCATTTAATAAAATGCAATACCCATTCTTTTTTCTTAAAAAAAAAACAACTAACATTTATTATCTCATGGTTAATAAATAATATGTTGTTATATGTTAAATAATATGTTGTTTTTTAAGAAAAAAATGAGTACTGGAGTTTACTGAATGTTTCTATTCTTGATGAAAACTCGCAGAAAAAACTAGGAATGGGAATTTCCTCAACCTGATAAAAGGCATCTATGAAAAACCTACAGCTGTTATCATACTTATGTGTGAAAGACTGAATGTTCTGCCCCTAATATCAGAAACAAAGCAAAGATGCCTACTTTTTACCACTCCAACATTGTACTGGAGGTCCTTGCCAGTTATACAAGAAAAAAGTATAAAAGGATACAGATTGAAAAGGAAGAAATAAAATGGTCTTTATTTACCAATGGCATTATTGTCTACATAGGAAATCCTGAAGAATCTACATAAAACTACCATAACCCTTGAGCAAGGGAACAAGAAATAAGATCAATATACAAAAATCAAGTATATTTCCTTATATTTGGAATGTACAAATGGATATTGAATTTTTTCTAAAGTACCAATTTACAATAAATAGTGTTAAAAAATATGAAATTCTTAAGGTAAATCTAACAAGATAGTGCAGGATTTGTAAGCTGAAAACCACAAAAAATTGATGGGAACAATCAAATACCTAAATAACTGAAAAGATATTTCATAATCATACATTCGAAGACTCAACATTGTTAAGATGTCCTCTCCAAACTGATCTCCAAATGCAATCCCAATTAACAAACTGATTCTAAAATTCACATAAAAAAGCAAAGGACCTGGAGTAGCTAAAAAAAAAAAAAAAAGTCTGAGCACTCACACTATCCAATTCTAAGACTTACTATCAAGGTACAGTAATGAGACAGTGCAGAACTGGGGTAAGGGTAGACATATAGATCAATGGAACAGAACAGAGTCCAAAAATAGACTCAACATATATGGCTTAAATCTTTGCCAGATTTTTAAAAAATTACTTTTCTTAAAGAAATCTCTTTTTAAAGTAAACATAATAAAACAAATGCAATTTTTAAATGTTTTCAAATAATGTTTGATCCAGTAAGTCTATTTATCCTACAGATGTACTTTCACAAGTGCGATACACACACACATTAAATCAAATAAGTCATACCCACATGTACTAATATGGAAAAATGTAAAAAACATATTAAGCAAAACAAGCAAGTAGCAAACAATTTTATATATGTCTGTGCCTACATAATCACTTTTGAAAAAAATATGGTACAAAGAGTATTTTGAACTTTTATCCATGAGCACCTATTATTTTAACAATTTTAAAAATTGTATAAATCTTCAATAAAACCAGGAGCACCTGGGTGGCTCAGTTGGTTAAGCGCCTGCCTTAGCCTCAGGTCATGATCCCAGAATCCTGGGATCAAGCCCCACGTCAGGCTCCCTGCTCTGCGGGGAGCCTGCTTCTCCCTCTCCTCCCCTTTCATGCACTCTCTCTCTCTCTCTCTCTCTCTCAAAAGATTTTAAAATCTTTAAAAAAAACTTTATAAAACCAAAAAAAAAAAAAAAGAAAGAGGATACCAAACAATTATTTTTGGCAGAGCCAAAAACAATTCGAAAGCACATAGAATCCTAAAAACTTTTCAACTCCGTGAGGCACCAATGTCACAAAAATCTGAGGATTTTTTTGTTCTTCGGGCTTTGAAAAAAAAAACAGCATTTGCCAACCAAATGAAACATAATAAACCCTCTTTATTTTGTACTACATTCAAAATACCATAGCACATTTTGCTAAGTGAAATAAGCCAGTCACAGAAAAACAAAGAGCATGATTCCACTTATATAAGGAATCTAAAATAGGCAAATTCATTGAATCAGAGAGAGTGCAACAGTGTCTACCAAGGGCTGGAGTGAAGGAGAAATGAACATACAGGCATAATCAATGGGCATAAAGTTTCATTCAAGCAAGATGGACAAGCTGCAGAGATCTGCTATTCAGCATTGCACCTTAATCAACAATAATCTATTGTACACTTAAAAATTTTTAAGAAGGCAGAACTCATGGTAAGTGTCCTTTCCACAATTAAAATTTTTTTAAAAAATTAACACTGGTATAGTTCTAGAAGATAAAATATAATACCATGGCACAAATAACTAGCTTAAATTAAAATGAAATTTTAAAGCCTGGAGATATACAAAAATGCAAGTTCCCATTTAAAGAATTTTGTTTCTATATATTTTAGTAATTGTGGACTGGGACTAGCTCATGAGCTCCATGACAGGGTCTATTTTTAATATATTATACATTGTGTACCCTTAGATTCTAGCAAGTACCTGACACAAATAAGCTCTCAGTTTTTTAGATGAAAGAATTAAAGTTAAGTCAGGTCCTTTATGGTATGTATGTATTTCTGGGCACACAAGGATTTTGTTTTTGAACATACAGTACTATCTTGAGAAATTCACTTAAATTCTATTTGCCTCGAAGCTCATCTTTAAAACTAAGGAAGGCACCTGGCTGGCTCAGTTGGTAGAGCATGCAACTCTTGATCTTGGGGTCATGAGTTTGAGCCCCACATTGGGAGTAGAGTATACTTAAAAAATAATAAAAGTAAAAATAAGAAAACTAGATTTAGATGACCTATTAATAGCACCTTTTAATTCTATAATGTTCTTACCTTTGTTATTACATCATGGGCTTCTGAATCAGGACAGACTTCTATTTGAATCCTGGCTTTGTCACTATAAAACTAGGTAAGCTACTCAACTTCTGTGAGTCTCAGTTTCCTTATTTATAAAATGGGGATAAACAAGCACTTCTTCAGAGTACTATGAGATAAAATTTACATAAAGCACAGAGTTGCAACTAAATAAGTATTAGTCCTTTCTCTTGAGAGTCTAGACAATAATAGCGATGTTACAGTAAGAGTGAAACTACTCATATTAAGTGATACATTAGAATTTTATAACTCAATTATTTATATCAAGAATTTAGATGCACCCACTTCTGACAAAGCTGATTAAAAAGAACTTTAGGAGAAAGTGGTCCTTTTTCAGTCTCCTTCATGCTGTGAAGAAACACCAACAAGGCTGAGGTCAATGTTCCAGGGCTTGAAAGTTCCACTATTAATGGGTCCTTTAAAAACATGATCAACTCTATGTCAGAAATATGCAATTTTGAAACTAAATATTATTAAAAATCTAAGTTATACTTTGCTTAAATGATAACTAAATTGCCTTAAGTGTATTAAGAAACTTTATTCCTACATATATAAGATGAATATTAAAAAATGGAAAATGGAATTAAATGCCTTACCTGGAAAAACACAGGTATTCTCCTAACATTTGCCCCTTACTTAGTAAAACTATTAGCTTAAGAGTAAAATCACCAACCTCTAGTTGCTTATAACTGTCCCTTAATGTGCTCTCCTAGGGGCGCCTGGCTGGCTGAGTCAGTCCAACATGCAATTCCATCTCGGGATTGTGAGTTTGAGCCCCACGTTAGGTGTAGAGATTACTTAAAAAAATAAAGTCTTAAAAAATGTGCTCTCCTAAAAGCAGAATTACTTATCTACTTGATATGTATACATCTTAATATATGATCACAAATCACATTTGTTAGCAAAACTCCACACCCTTCTTTTCCCCAAATATTTTACTAATAAAATAAGGAATGGGAAATTATGTCACAAAATTGATACACCATTCTCCTTCTTTACAAGGGAGAGACATAAAGCTTGACAACAGCAGCTAAAATTGTGTGAAGGAGAAACCCACTTTATTCTAGAATTTCTCCCCTACCAAGTTTTGTTTTCTAAAATGTTATCTTCGGGGCGCCTGGGTGGCTCAGTTGGTTAAACGACTGCCTTCGGCTCAGGTCACGATCCTGGAGTCCCAGGATCAAGCCCCACATCGGGCTCCCTGCTCGGCAGGGAGTCTGCTTCTCCCTCTGACCCTCCCCCCTCTCTTGTTCTCTCTCTCTCATTCTCTCTCTCTCTCTCAAATAAATAAAATCTTTTAAAAAAAAAAAAATAAAATAAAATGTTATCTTCACCAGTAACCCTCTCTCCTTATAAATAATGAATAAAAAGCAGATCCCAAATATAATCTTGGGACATTACAGAATGTTATTTTCTAAGACAACTATCAAATATGGTTGTCTCATTCACGTATTTATGAAACACATGTTATATATATATTTCATACCAACTATCCTTAAAAATCTACCATCTGACTAAAACCACAGAAAGGACAGGCTATAATTTTGCATAGCTTCTGAATATCAAAACTGCTCTCTGCCACGTTGAAGACACGAACAGACATTTCTCCAAAGAAGACATATAGATGGCCAACAGACACATGAAAAGATGCTCAATATCACTCATCATCAGGGAAATGCAAATCAAAACTACAATGAGGTATCACTTCATGTATCAGAATAGCTAAAATAAAAAACATAAGAAACAACAAGTGTTGGTGAGGATGTGGAATAAAAGGAACCCTCATGCACTGTTAGTGGAAATGCAAACTGATGCAGCCACTGTGGAAGACAGTTTGGAGGTTCCTCAAAAAATTAAAAACAGAACTATAATATGATCCAGTAATCACTCTGCTGGGTATTTACTTAAAGAATACAAGAACACTAATTCAAAGGGATACATGCACCCCTATGTTTATTGCAGCATTATTTACAATAGCCAAATTAGAGAAGCAGCCCAAGTATGCATCAGTTGATGAATGGATAAAGAAGATGTGGTATACATATACAATGGAATATTATTCGGCCATAAAAAAGAATGAAATCTTACCATTTGAAACAATGTGGATGGACCTTGTAGGCATTATGCCAAGTGAAATAAGTCAGACAAAGACAAATACCATATGATTTCACACGTGGAATTTAAAACAAAACAAAACAAAAAACCCAAAAACCAGCTCATAGACATAGAGAACAGGGGGTGAGGGGATGGGTAAATTGGTGAATGAGGTCAAAACAAACTTCCAGACATGAAAAGAAAAAAAAAAAAAAAAAAACACCTATGAAAAACCTATAGTTAACTTCATTCCTGATGTTAATGAAAGACTGAATATTTTTCTCCTTCTCTGGGGATTTTAGGCAAGGATGTCTGCTCTCTCATCATTTCTATTCAGTATGTTACTAGAGGTTCAAGCCAATACAATAAGGTAAGGAAAAGAAACAAAAGGCATATAGATTGCAAAGGACAAAGTAAAACTGGTGATTCAAAGAGTAGTGATCTACACTGGTAGTCCTCCAGCTCAGGTCAAATCTATGTCCCAAAGACCAAAGATCTAAGATTGAAACTTTCCTCTTAGAAGAACACAAATCTAAAGTGATCAGCTATAATATCTAATCGCCATATAGTCCTCTCAAGATACAGTTCCACATGTAAAGCACCTAACATTCAATCACATTTAATAGGAAATCTTTTCAAATGACTAAGCATTAACTCCAATTTAGTAATTTTCACTACCTCACTACATTTTAGAAGAGGGCACTGGGCTCTGCTATAAAAATTTTAAAGGGCTGAACAGGCAATAAGTTTACAGGTTGCCTTTTCAACAAAGAAATACAACAATACTGTCTTTCAAAACTGCCTCCGTGGAAGAAAAATCTAATATTACTACATTGGGCTAAGAATTTTTAGAACTCCCCTTTCTTATTTTCAAAAGCCATGAGCTATTACATACATCTCTTCCTCCAAAACACACACACACACACACACACACACACACATATGAATTTCTAACTAAAAACCTAATTACTACTGTCAGGGCCCTCCAGCCAAAGACTACCAGGAACACACTGGTAGTTGAACAAGAGGGGTTTATTACTTGTTGCATTTAGGAAGAACACACACCATGGGAAACCACAGGGTGTCTCAATAAGGGGGTACTGGAAAGAACGGATACAGGATTTGGGCTTTGGCTGAGTAATCTGGGGGAGAGTCTAAGGAAGCAAAGGTTTGCTCTCAATTGAATGCTGTCAGAAAGTGGAGGCAATTCTTAGCCTGGGTATCTTGATAAATCTTATCTTTGAGTTAGGGTAACCCAAATTCTAGTCTCTTTGGGAGGTAAGAATGAGGCTAAAGCTCATTTACTACTATTTGAGGGTAGCAGTCTCTCACTTCGGTCAAAATAGGGTGCTTGAGATTTTTCTAAGTGGTAGACTAACCTTGTTTTTGTCTGAGTTCAGATAAAATTATGAAGTGGCCTTGCTTTGTCTTATTTTTATCAGTCTCAGAGCAACCTGGCCTGAGGTTGGCATTCTGTGAGATTGTTTGAACAATATGGCCTAACTGTGGGTGCCAAGCCAGCTTCTGAATGTTAAGGGCTGCTCTTTTTCTTTATTTCTTTTCTCACTAGCTTAATAGCCTATTTTTAGACTAGGCCCCCAAAAATCTTTAGATGCTCACTATTAAAATTAAATCTACTTTTAAAGAACTAAAATGCTATATTTAAGCAAATGTTACCAGTAACTACAAAACAGGAGTCCTAGACATTTTGCTCAACTAAATCCAAACCCCTTTTGTTTAAAAGTTGCCTTGATATCTTTGTATTGTTTGACCCATGATACGTTTGAACCATAACAGATCTTGAACGTATAATGTTAGAATTTTAAAATCGGATTATTTTCACAAAATGCTTTTGAATTATTTTTTCAAAATATTTTTTCAAAACACCATCTCAGTTAACAGTGCTGAGAAATACAAAAGATCAATTTTGGCACCATCAGTGGCTCATCTAAAAAGAGCTATTATCCCAGTAGTCATTCTTCTTACCAGCTGAGAGTCTGGGGAAGGAAAAATCTTGAGTTTTGTCCCATTTTCTTTGTTCTCATTCATCAGTTCCATAAGAATGTAAGATTGTGCCAAGTTCTAAAAGAAAGCAAATGTAAAGTCTTCTGATTCGGTTGTAATATCCTCTGATTCTATGGAAAAAATGGTCTCTTCAACTCTCAAATGTCATCTAGCAGAGCAAAAAAATTTTTGAGTTTTAAAAAACTTGACTGAGCACATTTCACATTTAATAAATGTCAGTATTATGGACAGAACCATGGTAAAACACAGAGAAGGCCTTTTGGAAGCACTGTGCAAAAAGGTGGTGTGTATATGTATGTATGTACATAGCAACGGCTACCGATAGCCTAAAACAAAAAGGAAACAGGCCTTTCTAGGCGAACGTTTAGCAGTCAATTGCTAGTTTACAGGTGTGTCAATAAATACAAAGTTATCTTTTACATTTTACAAAGATTCCTGATGGCTCTTACCTGCATGACTGCATTAAAAAAGCAAGTATTTCCTAAATTTGAAATTCCTTTCACAGACGGTACACTGCTGCCTTTTCTTCCCTTCTTTTTTTCACCTGTTTCACATTTTTCCTCACAAAGTTTTAGGATTCTAGAAAATGCACCTAAGTTAGAGAAAACATAACTGACATAAGATGTAAAATCAAATGTGTGTGTATATATATATATAAAATTTGAAATAACTTAAATACATTAATTAAAATTAAGTAAGATTTTCCCCTGAATTGGTATCCCTGAAGGGCAAGAATACAAACACAAATAAATGTCTCCAGTTTGTATCTTACTGTTACGTATTAATACCACGTACGACACTGAGGGATAAATTCCAGATGAATTACATAGTTAAGTATAAAAGAATAAAGTAAAAAAACAAGAAGAAAACATCCAGATCCCAGTTCCTAAATACTATTCCCCACTAAAAGAAATGAAAACTTCTTGAAGAAAAGGCTGATTCTAAACCTAGGACAGCAAAGAAACAAAGTAAGCCTATAACATTTTTATTGTGCCAGAAAATAAGGAAGTGCTCAAAAAAAGTGATGAGTAGGTCAAAATACACATGCACCATCCTGAATAGGTTCCCACTGGTCCACTCTGGGACAATCTGAGTATCAATATAAAGAAGGGTCATTAATAGTTTACTATTCACTGAACAAAATGAGAATGGGTCAGAATCAATAATAGGTTTTTTAAATTGGAGGAAAAGGGAAAAACTCTTCCTTACAAGAAAATGCCAACTAATGCACAGAAGAAATAATGGAATTGTAAAATCACCATATAATGGCAATTTTTTTTGTATTGTTCTTGCAACTTTTCTCTAAGTTTGAAACTTCAAAATAAAAAGCTTAAAAAATTAGAACTATATTATAATATAAAAAGGAAAATGCCTATATATATGGTACATAAGTACATGTTTTGGGCTCACTGGTTTATATTATTAATGAAGATTTAAAAATTATATCAATTTATCATGTTTCAAAACAATCTGAAAATGAACAATTTCTAACATTTACAAACTGACATCATATCTATTCAACAGCACATTACTTTCTGAATCAAAATATAATTTGAGGGGCGTCTGGGTGGCTCAGTCCATTAAGCAGCCAACTCCTGATTTCAGCTTAGGTCATGATCTCAGGATCATGAGATCAAGCACCACGATGGGCTCTGTACTCAGTGTGAGTATGCTTGAGATTCTCTGCCTCTCCCTCTGCCCGTCCCCCCACTCATGTTTTCTCACTCTCTCAAATAAATAAAATCTATTAAAAATATATATATAATTTGAAGTTTGACAGGAAATTCCCAAGTTCTCAAATCTTTTATTTTAACCAAAATACTCTTTTAGGGGCACCTGGGTGGCTCAGTCGTTAAACGTCTGCCTTCGGCTCAGGTCATGATCCCAGGGTCCTGGGATCGAGCCCCGCATCAGGCTCCTTGCTCCGCAGGGAGCCTGCTTCTCCATCTCCCAACCCCCCTGCTTGTGTTCCCTCTCTCACTGTGTCTCTCTCTGTCAAATAAATAAATAAATAAAATCTTAAAAAAAAAAAAATTCTTTTAAATTTCTTTCAATCCTCAGATTTTGTAGTTCTTTGCAATTATATGTTTTATTCATCTAATACTGACATACTGCCTTGCATTGCTAATTAATTTTTAAATATTTGGCTGTCTCCCCAATCAGACTGATGGAGATCAGAAAATGTCTTAGTACTGCTCTTTCTTCCACAGGGGTGTAATGTTGGGGAGAACATACATAATAAAAATTCAATATAAATGAAAACACACCGGATTAAACAGCAGATTCAGTAGCACCTTAGCCCTCCATGCTTTGATGTGTTTTTAAGAGTAAATAAGACATCCCCTCCAGGGGCGCCTGGGTGGCTCAGTTGGTTAAGCGACTGCCTTTGGCTCAGGCCACGATCCCAGGGTCCTGGGATCGAGCCCCGCATCGGGCTCCCTGCTCGGCAGGAAGCCTGCTTCTCCCTCTCCCACTCCCCCTGCTTGTGCTCCCTCTCTCGCTGTGTCTCTGTCAAATAAAAAAAAAAAAAGACATCCCCTCCCATCCTGCCCTTCTATGCAACAACATTAAGGGAGATGAACAGGGCTGGAGGTAGCCCTGTTTTCAGGGACAGAAGCAGAGAGAAAAGACCATAAAGAGAAACTGTAATCTCAAGTATGGGCAGACTGATGTCATACGCATCCTGTTGGTTCAAATAAGGGGTGACTTGGCAACTGTGACTTTTGCCAAAGAAAAGTATCAATCAAGGGGGGTTAACACATTTCCTTATAAGATTTTCATAAGGATTAAATGCAAAGCGACTATCTGCAAAGCACCTGGCAAGGTAAGCACCATGTAAGTGGGTGAAAACAGCCCGAGAGCCTCCCCAAAATTGTTATTTGTGCCAAAATCCATACCTTCATAAGTGATCCTTCATGGCCATTGTTTATCTGCCCTCACTTTTTTCTTCTCTTTAATCATTTCCTATAACATCCTGGGTTTTTGCCCTCAAGCTTAGCTCTTATTTCTAATTGATTTTCGGAATTGCTAATATGAGTTTTGCCTTTTTATTGACTTTGTGGTTTTCATATCTTCTTGGCTTTTCTTTCTAACATGTGGAAACATCTTACCTCATTGAGAAAAATGAACTGGTGGTTTCTAAGGTTTTTTTTCATTAAGTAAATCTATCGCATGGAAAATATTTTTCTTTCAACTCTTAGCAACTTTTATCCATGATGTAATACTTTCCCACAAACCCTATTGCCCATTTTTCCCCCCCTTGATTCCTGTTGGCTTATTCTTTTCTCTTTTTTTAAGATTTATTTGAGAGAGAGAGACAGAGAGAAAATGCACACGCAAGCAGGCGCAGGGGCAGACAAAGAGAGAATCCTCAAGCAGACTCCCTGCTGAGCATGGAGCCCAACATGGGGCTTGATTCCAGGACCTGAGATCATGACCTAAGATGAAATCCAGAGTCAGACTGCTTAACTGACTGAGCCACCCAAGTGCCCCTGCTGGCTTTTTCTTTAAACATTATTGGTTGTTACTGGATGTGTGTTGTCCAGATACTGAGGAGTTGTTTTTTACTCCCAACCCTAGAGTTCTGAGTTAACACAGAAAAGAAGGAGCAAGAGATAGATCGCTTCTCCTGTCTTCCATATATTAAAACAAGTAATAAGAATTAAACCCCATACTAGAGCTTGGGGGCAAAGGCTGGTACAATCAATGGAAAGGTCACTCAAGGGCAGAGAACAGGCATGGAGAAAAGGAAAAGCAGGCAAAAGCAAGACAGTATTCAAACCTGCAAGTGGATGTAAAAGCAAATGAAATAAGCCAGTCAGTGGTCAAGAAGCATTTCACAAACAAGAGGAGGCCCCATATGGATCCTGGCTGGGTTTGCAAATGAGAGCAGTCCACCTCTTAATTATATCTGAGATTCCAACTAGAGCCTAGAATAGGCAGGTTTCAGCTCTCATTATTGATGTTGCCACTAGATGGCTTCATAGCGACTTTTAAGAGATTTCAGACGCTAGAGTAATTAAATCCAAGCATTAGTCCATCTTTTTGGGTAAAGTTGTTACTCTGATTTTATATTTACAAAACTCAATCTCCAACAGGTTAAGTGATTTGCCCAAAGTCATAATGACAATCTTTTGATTATAAATCTATTGCCATTTTACCACCTAATTTCTCTTCAGTGATTTAGGTACAATAAGAAGAATTATAAAAGATAAGAAGGCAAGAGTCTTACATATCTAGGTATATGCAACCCTGATCAAATGACTCCTCAAAAGTATTTCCTTCAGTTAACATTGCCAGAATATTTTTTTGCTTATTAACATGAAAAAATGTTGGGGAAAATAAACTATGCAGATTATACTAACCATACACACACACACACATCTATAAAACATATTTTATATTATATATATATAAATATATATTATATTATATATAAATATACATATTATATATATAAAACATATTTTTCATATTTTTGTATTTTAATACATTTAGCATTCACTTACAAAATATTTCCAGAAATAAATTACATTTTATTCTTACAAGAATAACATTTTTTAAAACTGTAACATGCAAATTATTATGTATCTGTGTACCACATTTACCCATCAGTTTTTCAAGACATCTGGGATAACATCCTAAAGTAAACAATGTTCATAAGACCATCTGGACAAAACTGCGGGCAAAAAAAAAAAGCATAAACATATGGAAAAACAGATTTTACCCTTCCCTTAAGCAGTAAGGGATGACAAATGTTGAACCTAGATATATCCACGCTTCACTGTGCGATGCTTTTCAGCACCACCTGGCTCTCCATGCAGAGCCACCAAATATGGACAGCACTGCCAGAAAGAACATAACCACAGGGCAATGGCAATAAAAATAGTTTATTTCATGGTTAAATAGCCACTTCACACAAGTGGCAAGGGTCTATTTATTGCCTTTTACATGTAAGTCTGAGAACATATTCACAATTATGCTATTAGACTTAAATATTAAATAGATCAGATAATTTAACTAGAAAATAAAATGACATTTTCTAAGAACTATTTAAATGTGTTTAATTTTTTTAAAAGATTTATTTATTTGAGAGAAAGAGAGAGCGTGTGAGTACTGAGCAGGGCGGTGGGCAGAGGGAGAGGGAGAATCTTAATCAGACTCCCAGCTGAACGCAGAGCAGGACACAGGGCTCGATCCCACAACCTTGAGGTCATGACCTGAGCGGAAATCAAGAGTCGGACACTTAAATGACTAAGCCACCCACGCACCCCTAAGTGTGTTTTTAAGTGCAAGTTTTTCGTTTTACTAAGTAGAATATTTATAAAATGTAACAATTCAAATTCAATTGATTTATTAAATTTCCATTTTATCAGGTACTATATGAACTACTATCTGTAAATGTTTATATTTAATTGCTTATGATTTAGGAGTATAAAGACTGATATACAGCAAGCAGCATAGAGATATTAAACCTCACATTCATAATAACATCTCAGCAAAACTTTTAGAAACTAAGTATATATGTACATTTGCTCACTAAGAAACTATCAGCTGAGAATTTAAGATTCTAGTTTAAAACAAGAGTACCGG